GAGAAATCTCTTGAAGTTATATATTGAATATATGTAAAAGGATTGAATCATTTACATATAATCACTAATATATAAAACACTGTTTTTCAATACGACAATACCCCAAAGTTCTTAGCTCCTTAGGCTACTGTATAATGTATTCCTGGGGCCCAAATGAAGACAACTCCAACGATAGCGACAGTGGCATAAAAAGGAGAGGGAAGAAGACCAACAGCAGACGCGTTTTGCATATGAAATTTAGTTGACGTCGTCATCGTCTCGGACGCATTAATTAAGTCTGCCAGCAAGACGGCAAAAGACTTTTTAAAAAACGTGTATATAAATAAATACATACGTATCTACAATTTAACTTTAAATACTTTTTCTCGCATGCAGATTATGGAGATGGAAAAAATACAAATGGGCTGCGAGTTGGAAGCAACCGAAAAAACAAACGTGACTCAGGAACCATGGAGAAGGTATAAGGGGGCTTCCAATCAAATCCCGCCTTCGAAATGCCTGGACGTGCGAGAACACATCCATAGATGATGTGTGCCCGATAAGTGCCAGTTCTCTGAGGCTGTTGGACTGAAACTGGGATCGGTAGATGGGTGAGGCCATGAACACATTTTACAAATTATTATTACGGCTTGATTCCATTCCATTTTTAGGGGGCGCCAAAATGATGTTAATCCTCCCACCCCTTACGCATTCACACATGAAGTTGATTTTTGAGATATCTCTGACTCGTATCTTTCCACATAAAAGATTTCTTTTCATTTAACGCTTCATAACTTAAGATAGCTTATGGGCCGAAACAAAATTATCATATAGTTAAGCTTCTGGACTCCAAATCTCCAGATGACTTTTATAAAAGTGTTTAGTTTTTTTTATCTTCACACTTTTGACATATGTAGTTTTGAAACGAAACAAAAATGTTGTGTTCTTATTAAAAAGATTAAAATATTTACTAACGATCGATACTCCAACAACAAAAACCCCAAGTAAGAGAGCTTCTAGTTAAGAAAATAACTACACATTGAAGTTTATTTCCAGTAAATAAGTAACAGATATTTTTTTGTAATAAAAGTGCACAATGCTTTCCACATTTATGTGAATAATTTGCAACAAAAAAGGGTCTTGTATGGTTTTTTATCACTTGGGCTTGACTGCTTAAAATGGCAAGTAGTGTTATTATAAATCCACCCTCCTTACTAACCCTAAATACGTTACTTGGCCGAGAACCGGGGAGAAGCCTGCTGCCAGGAGCTCGTGAGTGAAGTGCGGCAACAGCGCGTCGCTCCAAATCAGCTTGTCAGCCAGCGAGACATAAATAAGTATAATAATTTTTTCAGAGGGAGGGACACCATTTGGCTGAGAGCAGGAGGAAATGCGTGCCGACAACGTGTCCCTCAGTCATTACAGCTGTTCGAGCTGCAAGGAGAGGTGGCCGAGGGTGGATGGCACTTTTCTCTCTTCTCGGGCAAATCAAAAGTGTGTAACCCAAACATTGCGAGCAAATCTTTGCTGGCAAACTAAACCAAACATTTCTCATTTTTCACAACTTTTTCTCCCAACTGCAAAGTAAGGGTGACAACAAAGGGAAGAGAGCCGTTGGGCTTTTTACTAACGGAGGGGATGAAAGGAAGCATTACTGCAGAAGTTTTACAATTCCCAATAAGAGCTACATTCAGTCCACACCCACTTTAAAATATCTGAAAATACTTTCTGTCGGGCCCCATAAATTGTTTGGCTGGCTGCAGCTCATAAAATATTTTGAGTTAACTTAATACTTTCTACATATATGCGTCGCAAAGTTCGGGAAGTTCTGGGAGCACTTAATGAGCTCGAATATATGACAAATGCTCTTAATGGGCCAACAAACACTTTGATGCCCTGAGTTGTCGTGTCTTTTCAGGGGATTTGTAAAGAATTTTAGAGAAGCCAGCACGAAAAGATTCTTTTGAAGTGCATTTAGCTCAGCAACGTTGCCGACTTTCAGCATAATTATAAGGCAACTATTTACGCAATTATCGAAAACTTGCTCCGCAGTTTCAGCTTTTCCAATCTTTATTCTCCATTCAAGTTGACAAACGGCTTTTCAACTATTGCAAATGGGCAAAAAAATAGGCTGCAACGGCTCATAAAACAGCTAACTGTGACTGCATCATGACGTCACAGATGACGAATTGTGTACTTTTCCTGTGGCTTTCTCTCCATTCCGAATGGAAGTCACATTCCTTCGCCTGCTGCGATGCAACTAATAATAATTCGAGTGAGATGCCATTAAGTTGGGGCAAAATTCTATTGAACCGTCTACGAGAAGCTGTTCTTCATACAAAAGGAAAAAAATGGGTTACACTGAGCAAAAAATATATATTGAAACCAAAGTTTTGGTATTAACACATCATTGCTTTTTCATGCTTAGCTTCTTCCCTGCGAGCACAATGCAAGAATAAATTCTCCAATTCCAAAGAATAGTATTTCTTTTTAAGGTGTATAAATAGATGGGAGCCCAGCGCCTCAGTGTTGCTTAAACAAACCCCGCGTGTGATGTGCCTCAATCGTCGAGGTATCATAACACATACTCTGACGAGGAGGAGAAAGTGTCAGGAGGGGCACATCAATCATTTGTAATTACGGGCAGGCTTTTTCCGTCTTTCGGCTCCTTTCTTCCATTCTTTCCCATTCGGCATTCTACAGAAACGGAAATAGTTCTTTCTCGGACAGGGTCTGGTTCAGTGATCTCTCGGATGATCTCTGTCATATTTAAGAGTGTTTGGAGTGGCATGCAGTGCTTCTAATTGGTTACGAAATCCACTTAGAAGAGATCTTGACGATTGCATCGAGAAAATGTGACCTAGTTGATAAGTGGTTCCGAAGTTGTTCCCTTATCAGTTACCAGCAAAAGCAAATACCCAAGAGGAAATCTCTTAAAAACGTTTGGCTAAAGCTCCAACAAAACCTTAGGTTTAGTTTATTTTTAAATTCCTTAGCGAGCAATACGAATGTGTTAATTAGAGTGGCTGCTCCTAATGTTAGTTTTAATTAAAATTGAATTTTTATTTTGACTTGGTTCTTTTTGATTAGTATTTATTTACAGGCCTATCACCAGTACGATCGAAAGCCAAAGATAAATGTATTCTCTACAAAAAAAACTGTAGTGGTTCTACATATGCTCCCGGGTGGAGTTAAAAAATGTAATTTTTTTTTGCCATGGGGAAGCGACATCGGTCTGCATTTCAAAGTCTATTCCATAATTCTATCTATGTCATTTGATTCGCACATGTGTACATAAAGTGCCTGCTTCCTGTTTATATGTTTTGTGTTACATGCTTACTTGTGCTGCTTTTTTGTTGCACTTTTTCCAGCTCAACTGTGGCCACTTGTGAACTTTAAGCTCCATTACAGTGTTCGCTGTGTGTGCGCTGAATTTCAATTGAATTGAATGAAATTGCGAATTAAATGCGTCCGATGCAGCGGAGACAGGAACAACAACATAATCATCACATTCCGAGTTTCCCATAACGGAGCATGGACTATAAATTCAGTTTATTGTTTAAGTCTGGCCTTTAATACTAAAACAGTCGTGCTTTGGTGAGGCCCACAACAGAAATATAATAATAATAATAACAAAAGTAAAAAATTGGCGCAAAATGTTTTTAATCAATTTCAATTGAATGATGACCCGCACAATCAACGTAAGACGTCGTAAGCCTCTTCACTCACTCAAAGTTTGTATCGCTCAGTTTATTCCCATTCCAAGAGGCAAATATTTCTGGTGCTGTAGCTTTCGCATAATTTACTTTTTTTATTTACGAAATCACATTTACAGATCTTTAAGGAACCTGAAAAAATACTTTGAGCCTTTATTTTGGCATTAAATAATTTTTTTCTAGTTTCTTGTTTATAATTGCAATGTATACATCAGGCAATTCCCACTGCGAGAGAAAATTTTAAATTCAACATATTCGTTTTCAAATTTGGATTCGGATTATGTTATAAATATTTTTTTTATTTATCTTGGTTTGAATAAAAATGTTAATTTGTTTGAATATAAGGCAAGCCCCTAAATTGGGCAGATTGACCACATAAATGACAGCAACCACATCAATTCGTTACACAGACGAATGCTTTGTTTGGGTCAAGCATACTGGCCTTCTTAATTGAATCTCATTTAAGCTAAAAGGTAAGGTAAAAACATAAAAGTAATACAAATTTGAAAAAACTGGTTTATTTATTTTAAATATGGAAACGCTGCTATTTTTTTATACATAAAATTATCAACAGAGTGTTAAATCTAAGGTCGATGATAAATTCATTCATAAGAAAATAAGAAAATATTGCAGCGGTTAATCGACGGATAGCAGAATTACTCATTTACTTCTAAAATGGACTGACTAATTCCCAATCTGACCCAGTGACGTTGCACAACCCCGCTGATCCTCCCTCCAATCCCCCAAAACACTGTTTCCCGGACGGTCGAGGCAATGAACCGCACGTTTATCAGCTCCCCAGCACAACCCCCACATAAAAAGATACAAATGTATCCGTCCAGACGCACAGTCGAGTAAATACCCAACTGCAAACAACCAGCAAGCACAATGAAACAAAAAGCGAAAGCCAGAGTAAATGTAAGGAAAACAAAATTAAAAATGCATAGATACGGTCGGAAAATCCACAGAAGTAGTGGCAAAGGGAAATATGGGTAAAAAGTCCAGACGAATGTGTCAACAACGATAAGAAACGAACTGAAACAGAAACTAAATCAAAAGAATTTGTGAAGAAAATATTGCGGGTTAACAATAATAAACTTAACAATAATAAAAAATACTAACTTAACAAAATATGAAAAAAAGAAAAGCCCCGGAAATTCATAGATTTTAAATGGAAGCATAGAACCAATAGATATCGAAACTTCTGTAGCTTCCGGAATACGTAGATCACTAGTATGGAATGCTTTTGAACACAACTGTGTAGGGCCAACGCCAATCGACTCTGAGCCAAGTGCAATTACTCACCAATGAGGGCAACAGCTGCGTACAGCATTAGCCATTTGAGGCGTTCGTTGGGCATATTCATTCTGGATGCCTTGTTTCCGCCGAGCGGGTTGTGTGGAGTTGGCAGTAGGGGGTCTATCTGTTTATCGATTTTACGCAAAAATTCACTGGAAAGCACCCTTCGCTTCGGTTGGCACACGCGAATTATCTGAAAATAATAAAGAAGTATGGTTTCATTAGTTACAAAAACTTTAATTTTCTGGTAAACGAGTACTTATACACTACCAACTTTAGTGATGCTATTTTTTTTTTGCACCCTTAAAATTAAAATTCCCCTTCACTGTCAATGAGATGCAAGTAATTTGATTAGAAAACCACCCTCTAATGCGAAACTGAGCTCCATTCACCCCTTTAACACGAGCTTTATGGACTGCTGGACCATTGGAGATTGGGTATTTCTTATTAACAAATACCTTAATTACTCATAGACTTAAAAATAAAATACCCACAAAAAATGAATAACTTTAAAATACGGATACGCCCAAAAACACAAATAAACTGTTTAATTAATTGAAATTATCATAAGAAAATATATGGTATTTAAGGAGGAGTCAAAGCCTTTGGTTAATATACCCTTTCAGCGCAATTTCAGTCAGAAGTTTGCAACGCAGTGAAGGAGACACCTCAGACCCCGTATATATATTCTTGATTACCATCACCATCTGAATCGAAATACATTTCTACCCAAACTGGTCTCTCAGTTTTAAAGCTATCTTGCTGAAACTTTCCCAAAAGTTGTGTAGTTATTGCACGCAGTATATATGTCGGAACGGGCCGGATCGGCCGACTATATCGGATAGCTCCCATACAAGAGAATGAAATAAAAAATTCTTACGCCGTTGTTTTTGATCAGATCGATTTGATTTCTTCCAGATGGCGTTTTCTAACTACTACTGAATTTCGGTTTAAATTTTATCAAAATCGGATAACACTATCATATAGCTGCCATAGGAAAGATCGAAAAATACATATAGAAATAATGGAAAAAAATTATAACGTCGTTGTTTTTAATCCGTCGAGCATGATTTTCGAAATATGGAGTTTTTTATAACCCCTGAATGGAGAAAAAAATTTAATTAAAATCCGACAACGTTATCATGTAGCTGCTATAGGAAAGATAGAAAAATCTATATAGAAATAACCGAGATACAATTATAACACCGTAGTTTTTCATCAGACAATCATGATTTTTGGAATATAGAGTTTTCTTCCGACTCTTGAATAACGAATTAAATTTCATAAAAATCAGACGACTATATCATATACATAGCTGCCATATGAACGATAGTCGATAATATGGAAAATGAATAGAAAAATCGTCATAGCTTCGATGTTGTTTAGCCTTTGTGTATTTTGTTCGACATATTTGATAACTGCAAGATCATAATAGCTTCGATATAAGCTTGGACTTGCCGAAGCTAGCTTCCTTTCTTGATTTTCTAGGTAATTTTTCAATTTATTAGTGGAATTTATTTAATTGTTCCCACAAACCTTTAATTATCTTTTCATATAATTTCATATACATAATTATAAATTTTTTGTTGGGCTTTAAAAAAACAGCCTTGCAATCCCTTAACGAAGAATATTTACTTAGAGGTACTTGTATAACCAAAAACATTTTAAGAACTTCTTCCCAGCGGGAGAAGCCCTAAAAAAGCGATTAGCAAATGGAATAAAAAATAAAGGGAACCACACGAACGAGGGAATAGTGTTCTGTGGAGGGAGAACACCGCGGATGGATGTCATTAATTAAACCACAAATGGCCAATAGGGGGAGGAGAACGCAACAGCTTCGAACACTTCTTTTCGTTTTCTGCCTTGTGCTATCCATAAAATGTCACGCGCCTTCCTTCCACCCCGCCATCCTAGCTTGGAGGCAAAAAAACACACTTTATGACAGGCAGGAAGTCACGATTCCACATTTCTGTCTATCTGTCCCACCAATCCCCTCGATGTCTGTTACTTGACATCGGCCCCACGATATACAGCCCCTCCACATGGCCATCTACTTATTTTAATCCATGAGCTAGCCTCTAATTGTTCAATACACACATGCGTGTATATACATAGATTCAAAAGCAAGTTGCCCTGCTTTTTGACGCTTAATTAACTATTAAGTGGATTCCTTCATTCGCGCTTGCCACAAATTGTGGACAAAGAATTTATTTTTATTCCGCATTCAATTCAACTCGAATCATTCAGCAAGATAGCTCGAACTTATCTACGACTCGCTTTTGCTTGCTCAGAGGGTTGCGAAGGCGTGCGGAAAACCTTCCCCACACGTGTCGGATAGAATAGAATTAGTGGTTGGTGGAGGGTCTGATCTACCAATGTTAGCTTTTCAACTGGGCTAGCCAACTAGCTGTCGTTCGCAGCGAGGGTTAACTGTCTCGTAGTTCAGCAGCTTCGAAGGCCAACAGCTGCTTCGAAGATCTTGGGGTGGCCAAAATATCAACTTAATGGGATAGATCTCAAAGTAAAGGTTTGTATTAATGGACAAGTTGTCTATGAGTTGTATCGGAAAAATAAAAATTCCAGCTTTCTTAGTCATTGAGAGGGATTAAAGGAAGGAATTCGTTTTTGAGTATGAAAAATTCTTTTCGATGATACAGTTTCCCTTATTCGTAACATAAACATGATTACTTGAAAAATTAAAATTAAATTTAAATAAATACATTTTAATATACATACATATTACATATTAAAAAAAAAAATTGTTTTTGAAAAATTAAACATTTTTTTAAACATTTTATTGTCAAATACTCATAGTAAAATAATTTTTTTGATCAAAAAATCGTTTTTTAAAAAAAGACGAGAAAATATAATTGTGAACTTTCAACTATTAATATCTTCTGAACCGCACTGTAAATTACGAGTAATGAATCATCCGTACATCTCGCCCTGAGTTTTCAGTTGAACAGTCGGTCGTTTCCCATCTCGACAAATGATTCTGCGATTCTCGTCTGAAACAATTTAGAAAACATCTGGTAATCAGTCAGCGGCTCTAGGCGTCCATTTCGGCAGGGCACGGCATATGTACGGATACATTTATGTATACAATGTACATATAGCCAGTCAACCCCTCGCTGAGCAGATCCGTTTGGTCAATCGCGTGGTAAAATCAACGAATCAAAAGCATTTTTTATATTACTCATGCTTGCATTTTGTGTTCTTTTTGTTGGTCCGTCTGGCTGGATGTGTAACTAAAAATTGGGGTGACGAGCCAATAAATTTGGCAGGGTGGTGCCTGGCGGAGATGGAGGGTTCCGGTGTGGACAGAGGCCAGTGGCCCAGTGCAGGGTCGCCGTCGGTGGCGGAGGACACTTCCATTGTCCAGAACCGCCGCTGTGACCCATTCACGCTCAAAGAATTCCGCACTGCGCCCCTAATTGAGATTCAAGTGCTCTCGGCGGCAACAAAAACAAAAAGAAATATTTATTCGGTCCTCCATTCGTTTGTCAGCCTTTGTTCACTTTAACCTTTTCCGCTTTGTCATGTTTGTGCCCAAGTGGAAATCAATATTTGACATCTGGAACTGAGCCGTTGAGAGGGTGTTCATCAAATCGACGAGAAAAAACCCACACATTAAAGGAAACTCCTAACCATATTTACTAACTGTAATATAAATTTGATTTAATTGATTTATTAAACGTTAATGCCACTTATCAAGTTTCCCATAAACAAACTATATACATACCAACAACAGAAATAATCTGAGAAGATTTAATTTAAAAACATAACCTTTTAATCGTTTCATTGCTATGGGACAGGGAGACATATGGAAAATTGGCAAGAGGCCCAACTAGTGGTACATTTACCGCCTAGCAACAGGATGGCAGCCGACGAAAATCCAGAAAAAGAAGTCGGGAAATGAAAAGTATATCGCAGGCAGGCGAAAATGCAAAGCGAGGGAGGGAAGGTAGCACAACACTTGCAAAACCAAATAGTGGAAACTTTAGACACACCAGCGGCCAAAGGACGAAGGCAGCTGCATGGGATTTCAGAGATTTTACAGGCAGGGTTGAACCAACACTCTCAAAAGGACACATGTGCACACAAAGGATCACAGCGTATGTGTGCCACATGGAAACTGCGAGGGATTCTAAAAGGTTCTTGAGAATGAAGATTTTTGAGTAGGGAAAACTACCTGACGGGTACAAAGGACCAAGGACCAAGCAGCATGAGGCACAGGTTGCACACACACTCCGACGCACAAGCGAATAGAACGGTAATCGCAGAGTTGCTTTTCTGCGGTGCCAAGGGCGCATGCGCCGAAAAAAAATTCGCTGAAAAATTCTGGGACTGAAATGATTTTGTCTAAAAGTCATTTTATAAATGAAAAGACCAGCGAAATAGCTGAAATCTATATAAAGATGAAACTAAAGATTTAGAAACATATTATTGTACTTGTTTGGTTTTCATGTAAATGGTTCTTTCCTCCCTTATCGAAATACATTTTCACACCCTTTTGCATGTGTGTGTAACTATAGTGCAGAAAGTAACCATTTTTGCATTCCCGTAACGAGGAAAACCTAAAATTTGCGACAAATCAATAGAAAGCCCCAATAAAGTGTCCAAATTTGTATTGTAAACCGGTTATTAAATGTATTAAATCCTCCTGCGTTAGATTTGGCAAGCTACCGTTACTCAGTGGGCGTGGGCAGGACTCACGCACACACCCAAACCCAACCTATACATACACGAATGGCACAAAGAAGTTGCCAGACAAAGTGGGAAATGGCTCAAAAAATGACCACTTTTCTTACCGTTTAAGCTTGTTTTGATGGCCAAATTGATAGTTTAATACGTCGTTAATTGTTGTTAACACACACAAACACACACAGTGAGAGTGGTGGGCAATTTGCAGCAGGGTGCCACTAATCCACAGGGGTGGCGACTCCGCACAAAAGCACCGCACACACAAACACAAATACCTATTGCTCTGCTCTTCGCTATCTTTTAGATAGTTTGCATACTATTATTCACTTTTTATTCAGAAGGTGCACAACAACCACTGCAACCGGTTGGCGGGCGCGCGGGGGGGTTTTAATCGCGAACCGCTGCCGTATATCCGTATCCGTGTCCCAAAACAACGCTCACACGCACACACAATCAAACGCACGCTCTCGCGATTCACCGACTTACGCTGAATCCGGTTCTCGATCGCTCGACGGTCCAAACAAGACTGAGCGGATGCTCAGATACTCAGATACTACCCGCCTCAGATTCAGATACTCCGCCAGCCGGTGGTTTTTTGCTCTCTCAAGAGCTCTCTCTCGCCGAATATAAGTGTGTGTGTGCGAGCAAAGGGGAAACTGTTTGGGAAATTTCAAGGGACATTTTCCACTTGTTGCATTTGGGTGGAATAAGTGTGGGCGATACTTGTTTGGATTTTTAATTTCATGTGCTGTTACTGAACCTATTAGTATTGGTTGAAAACTACCGAACTTTAACGAAGAAATTATTTCTAAGTTTGCAAAATTTGAAGCAAGTTTAATTCTGGTTAATCCACAGTCATTGAACATTTTCATATCCAGATTACAAGGTAGCCAAAATAAAAACAATTTTAGCTTTAAAGAACTTTTTTTAACTTTGAAAAAAAAATGGAATGTTAACCTTTTTACAGCAACTTAATAATAATATTCCTCTGATCATATTTTGGTACTGCTTTCTAATACTTTAGACTAAAAGTGATTTGAATTACGTATCTTTCATTGGAGTATTGATGTTTGTTTTTCCTTAGTTGTGTTGTAAATCTTTCCTTAGTTTTGTTGTAAATTGAAAACCCAGCCATCCCACGAACAATAAAAAATCGCAAGTTAATAAAAAACTTTTAGTAGGGGTTAATTAAGTTTACATATATTTTATTTGCTTATCCAACAATATCCACACAAAAGCAATGCCGAGCGATTATGGCGGAATATCAATGCTTCCAGTTGTGAAGCTGATTTTCTACAAGTTTATTTTGTAAGGGAGTACAATATTAATATCAGTATATGCATAGAGTATATTATATTCCTGTCTATAAAATGGAATGCAATCTCTAGAAATTGCGACTATCAGAATCGTTAATCAAAAATATATTATACACAACCAAAAAGTTTTTGCATTAAAAATTAAGAGCCACATGAGTATTCAATTTTCGCACGAGTATTGTAGATGCATTTAAGTTGAGCAGGTTAAATTATTTTGGTGAAGACTATAAAAGTTAACACTTGGGTGATCGAGAACGAGTATTTTGGCAGACACAAAAGTTAAATAAAAGTCGAGGGAAGACACAATAGTGTTTACAACTAACCTAAAACTAACAAAATCAGTTAAAACTATGTGGTAAAATAACACATTGCAATTATTTACAGGTTAGACGGTGGATGAATTATCATTCAACATTTTGAGCGAACATACATATCTGTGTAGTTTGTTTTGCGAGTATCTTAAGTAGCAGGTCAAGTCTTTACAGTTGAATCTCATGAGGATATTTATTTTCATACGCTAGATTTATGTGTAAGGGTTTGTAAAATAAATGCTCTCCAGCTAAAGAGTTAGAATGAGAACCGTGTCGAGTCTATTTGTGTAACTGTGGACGAAGCTTGTTCAGCACGAGTGCCTTGTAAAAAAACATCGAGTTCCTAGCCCCAAAAATACCGTAAGCGACAATTGTATAAATAATAAAGTTTTGGAGGTTTCCTTTACTCTTGGTTGTTGCTAAATCCAGTGTTATATAAATATGAGTATTTGGTTTTAAAGCTGAATTCTAATTTTTTGTTACCACGAATCTTTCACGATCGTTTAAAACCAAAAACACCTCCTTCCGTGTTTTTAACGAGAAGAAAACATTACTTTTACAAATGTCGCTTTTGGCTTAGTGGCACCTGGTTCTCGATTAATGGCTTTGCATGGCCTATGGCTTTTTAGCTTAACCTGATATAAGCGCCCTGGAAATGGTTAAATTCGTGTTTAATTACGACGACTGGCGTCCTGGATGATTATCTTGTTCTTCTGCCGCGTCACCTTCGTGGCCGCCGGCGCTGGCATCAACCGCTTCAGCTGCTCTGGCCTAAAACTAACCAGGGCCTTATCCTTGACTTTTCCCACAGCTCCAGTTGTAGTCGTGGTGGTGGTCGTTGCCGTGGCCGTGGTGGTTGACTCAATCAAAGCAGTGGATTCTTCGGCCGTGGAGCCTGACGAACCGGCTGCAGCAGCTGAGGCGTATCGGGTGAGCACGTGGAACTTGGCGAAGATGTTGCGTCCACTGCGTTGCTCCTTGTCCTTGTACTTGTCTAGTGCCGAGCCAGTGGGCAGCGGCTTAGGCGCCTTGACCAGCGCCTTGCCGGGATTGCTGCCGGCTGCTTTGTAGAAATCGTCGTAGTCGAAATCACTACTAGCCTGCGCTGGCGAAGAAGCAGTGGCCAAAGCTCGCTCTCCAAAACTCGCCGAACTGGCAGACGTTTCCTCGGCCATGTGGCGCAGCATCAGCGTTAGCTTCATCTCGTGCTGGCGTTGCAGCAGCACGGCGTTCCGTTCGCCTTCGAGTCTGGCCTGGCGCACGGCGTTCGACAAGACGCGTTCCTTCCACTCCCAGGCATCCCGCTCGCGCTCCAACTGCACCAACTGCAGCTCCAGCTTTCGCGAGGAGTCTCGCAGATCGATCACCTTGGTGAAGTACTTGTACAGCAGCGTGCGCATCTCCTCTGTCGAAAGCCGATTCAAACGAGCCATTAACATCTGCTCTCCTTTCTCCCGCTGTATTCGGTCGCTGGTGTCGATAGAGCGGTGGCCCGTGATCATCTCATTCTTGAATTCAATGGCCGCGTCTATGGCCTCGATGGCCTCGTCGCACTCAAGCAACTTACGCTCCTCCTTTTGAGTCAGCACCTTGTCCCGCTTGAGCTTCCGATCTAGATGGCAACGCTCCTCCAGCAGCAAGTCGCGTGTGCCGCGCAGGTTACGGATCTCGTGACGCAAACTCTCTTGCTGGGCTGGCCCCGGCTGCTCCTCCAGGTTATCCGACTTTTCACGCAGAATATGATTAAGGTGCGTGATTCTGGCCTGAACCGCCTTTAACTGCCGTCCATGATGCTCTGGTGATTCCGCCTGGGTCTTTACCAACTCTTTGCCAGCGTCCCGGGATTCCCGCAGCTTGGCCAGCTCTGCCTCCAGTTGATCGCGCAATTTTCCCTCCTTGCGGAGCCTTTTCTCCAATTCATCGGCCTGCTTTCGTGACTCGCCCACCGATTGCTGAAGCTTCTTCACCTTCTGGCCGCTTTCTCCGGCAATATGCTTAATTGAGCTTAGGTCTTCTAATCGCCGCTCAAGGTGCGCGATTATTGCGGTCCACCGTTCGATTTCCGACTGCTCCCGTCCTTGCACCAGCGCCTTTCCCAGCTGCTTCTTGGCCTTGTCGCACTCGGCCTCCAACTTTGACCGCTTCTTGTGAAACCTTTGCTTGACGTGGCTGCGCGTGTCGCTGTTCTTAACCAATTCACCGATGATGTTTTGTTTTACCTGAATCGTCTGTTCTATTTCCCGCAATTGACGCTGTTTTCCTTCGATCTCAGCCACCAACTTACGAAGCTTTTTCTGCAGCTGCTCGATGGGAGCATTCGCGGCGGCGGCGGCCAGAGCTGCCTGGCGGAGACCCTCTCCCGAGGAACTTTCCAGTGGATCCACAATCGACTCCGGATCGATGGCGGGTGGCGGATTTTGAGAAGCTACTCGATTAAGCATGGCTAGTTCGGCAGTACTTAAGCTAACTCCCGGTTGAATGCTTCTCCTCCGTCCTGATAGAGCAAAAAGCAAAGCGTTACTCACAAAAAAAACTTTTCCAAGTCGAGGACTCACCACCAATACTAGTCTTACGATCCTCTCCGTTCTCCGCTGGCGGCTGTGGCTCGATCTCACGATCCTGGCTCTGCATAACCGCTTTTGGATGTTTAGACAGATAATCTGCGTGCTTTTCCAGGATAAGCGCGTCCGTCTTATCGCGAAACTCTTCCATTAATCCCTCTACTTTATCGTCCAGATCAGGCCGCTGCGACTCATTGTCAGTGTCATTTTCATTGTCGGAGTTTGGCGGCTCTGAGTTGGCTGGCTCTGAGTTCCCTGGGTCAGAATTAGCCGCTTCCGAGTTGATATCCTCTGGCTCTTCTGCCTCTTGAATTGGAACTAGATGCTTATGCTGGCGCATTGCCTCTGTTGAGCTGAGACACTCTTCGCATTCTTGTTTGAGGTAGAGCCACTCCGCGATCTGCTCCTTCTCGAGTTCACTGATAAGCTTGGAGTCCATTAGCCTGAAATAATAATTATCTTAAAGATGTTTAAATATAATTTATGTCTCCACTCACTTGGCAAACAATCCTTCAGCGTTTGTCACTAGCTTTGACCACTGACTGGCCGCAAACTGCAAGCCAAAATTGTCGCCCGGCCCCGCCTGCGCTAAAGGTCCAGCTGCAGGGTTGGAAATTGGAAGCTCCTCAGGAGGCCGGACGATAAGTGTGTTGTCGTCTGAGTACGTGTTCATAATCACATAATTCCGCACGCATTGCACCTTAAAGGCAAACTGCAAGTTGCCCAGGGTCTCAGACAGATTCTCCTCTAAGGGCGAAACGCACAGGATAACGAGTGTCTGAGCTCGTCCACCGAACGAATCCTTTAGCAAAGTCGTGAGAGTGGTTTGGCCATACGGAATGTTGCCATTGACCCCGTACATCAGGCCAGGATCCGTGAGAGTGCTGACGACCTGCTCCAACATATGCAAGCCCGCATCACGTGGTCGTCCGGGGGGTGGTTCGCCACAGCGTTCTGTTCCCCATAGGTCCGAAAAGCTCGCCGTCGACAAGCGATGCTGCAGGAGTCCCTCCTTGGACACCCACTGCTGCTCCAGGGTGAGCGTGAAAAGCGTGTGTGCAGGCAACAATTGGCGGGCCGATAATCCCGTCTGCAGCCAGCGAAAGACGGCTTCTGCGTTGGTGCAGTGTATGTTGCCCATGCCCAACAAGTCGCAGACTTCCCCTCCGCAGATTTCCACGAATCCAACGTTAACGGCATAGGTGCGTTCTGGAGTTAAAAATAATAAGTATCTTAGTTTTAGTTATGCTACTAAACTTACCTGGGTGCGAAGATATGTGAGCAAAGATGTCCCGGACGCACAGATGGACGACTCCTTCGGTGGCCCCCTCTGATTGGTTGCTCTCATCGACATTTCCGTAGAAGGTGTAACTCTTGCCTTGGCCGCGCTGGCCGTAAGTTACCACGGATGCGTCAAACCCCTCCAGAAAGAGGGTGATCAACGGAAATACGGTCTGGTGGTACACCTGCTCCTGAGAGGTGCTGCTGCCCAGGGCGTGGGTGACGGGCACAGTGTGAGGACCCACTTGTATGAGTCCAGCCGCGATGCTTTCCATTGGATCGCCGCCCGGCAAAGCACTGGGCAATCCTAGGGCTGAGGCGCTGATAGGAATTGCCTGTACACAATATCGGGTGTTTGGAGCATCTTTTGGTCCGTTACCGTTGCCGTTGGCGTCCGTATTTTCTTTCGGATCGATAGCACTCTCCTCCGCATTCCCATTCTGATCCCTCAGCGCAGTGCTGTCCTCCTTGGCCTCCGCAACTTGATCCGCAGTGTCCTTGGTGTCCGCCCCCTTATTTTCCGCCTTTACATCCTTTTTCAGCTCTGTTGGGGCACAATTCTCTTTTAAAACTTTAAGCTCACTGTGCGGGAAAATGCGCACGGCAACTTGTATAGGTATTTCCATATTTCTAGCTTTTGTCCTGATCCCGAAGGAGCTCTTTCATTCACCCTCCTCCGATTTTTTACGCATTTTAGCGCTTCAAATACTCGCAAAATTTCGGCTTCGAATCGATACAATGCGATAGTGTGACCGCAATTAGAGAAATACTCCCACCACCGAATATACCAAAAAGTGCATAGATTATATTTTTGTAGTCCGCTCTTAACGGCTTAATTAAATGCAAAATGATCAATAATAACAAATTCTCAAGCATTGCATTAGATTCTTAAAACTTATTCAGTTTTATATAGAACAGGATTTTACCTTCCAAAATCCAGGAACACTATTTACAAAAAGGTGGACCCGCGAATCAAAATATTGAAATGTGTGTATGCACTTGGTGAGGATCTTAGCTGACTGTGGGAAAATTGAGGTATTTTTAAGGTTATTTACAGCACGCTGTCGGTATATGTTAAAGGTCACACTGAGCGCGTGTTTTTTTTTTGTGCAAAACGCTTCGATTCTGGAATTATTTCTAGCAAATCGACGAAAACAGCATGTCCAAGCGTCGAATCGAAGTAGGGGAAACCTATGGCAGCAAGGCTAAGAAGTGAGTGCGCTAATCTTAACAGACAGCGGTAGTCTAAACCAGATCGTTTTCCAGGGAGTCGGAGGCGTCCTCGTCATCTGCCGCCGCCGGCACAGTGGCCCAGATCCTAGGCGGATTCGTGCCCAACAAGCAGCCGCCCACTATGAATCCACTGACTCAAAAGCCGTACTCGCAGCGCTATCAGAATCTCTACAAGAAGCGGATCGCGCTGCCCGTATTCGAGTACCAGGCTGATTTTATGAGGCTGCTTAGCCAGCACCAGTGCATCGTGCTGGTGGGCGAGACAGGCTCCGGCAAAACGACCCAGATACCGCAGTGGTGTGTGGACTTTGCGGTTTCCAAGGGCCGGAAAGGCGTCTCCTGCACGCAGCCGCGTCGAGTAGCCGCCATGTCCGTGGCCCAGCGCGTCTCCGAGGAGATGGACGTGAACCTGGGTGAGGAAGTGGGTTACTCCATCCGTTTCGAGGACTGTTCCTCAGCAAAGACACTACTCAAATACATGACCGACGGTATGTTGCTGCGCGAGGCCATGTCCGATCCCATGCTGGAGCAGTACCAGGTCATCCTGCTTGACGAGGCCCACGAGCGTACCCTGGCTACTGATATTTTAATGGGCGTGCTAAAGGAGGTCATTCGGCAGCGCAGCGACCTCAAGCTCGTCGTCATGTCCGCCACCCTGGACGCCGGCAAGTTCCAGCAGTATTTCGACAACGCTCCACTTATGAACGTACCCGGTCGCACTCATCCCGTGGAGATCTTCTACACGCCAGAGCCTGAAAGGGATTACCTGGAGGCCGCCATTCGTACGGTCATTCAGATTCACATGTGCGAAGAGATTGAGGGTAAGTGGCAACAGTCGTACTAATAAAACTTTTTTGTTCATGTTGTTCGGCTAAATGTTTATGGCTCACCCATCTCTCCTATCCCTTCAACTTGCTGAGCTTTGAAATTAATGAGTACTATTTGAAATGATTCACAAGGAAATGGGGTAATAATAAGAGTGTCAGTTGCCTACAATAACAGCAAGAACAATAGGAAAAAATTGTTTTGTGTACAAGAAAACAGCAGTGTTATATTCGTAAATTCTTTCTATGCTCCAATTACCGAATTAAAATTGTTAGGTATGATTCAATTTAAAAAAAAATTTTTTTCGTTTCTAGGTGACATTCTCATGTTCCTCACTGGTCAGGAGGAGATCGAGGAGGCCTGCAAGCGCATCAAGCGCGAAATCGACAATCTTGGCTCTGAAATTGGCGAGCTTAAATGCATTCCCCTATACTCGACGCTGCCTCCCAATTTACAACAGCGAATCTTCGAGGCGGCTCCACCGCCGAATGCAAATGGCGCTATCGGTCGTAAGGTTGTTGTGTCCACCAATATTGCCGAGACTTCGCTGACCATTGATGGAGTGGTGTTCGTGATTGATCCAGGCTTCGCAAAGCAGAAAGTGTACAATCCTCGCATCCGAGTGGAGAGTCTGCTCGTCTCGCCCATCTCGAAGGCTTCAGCTCAGCAGCGAGCTGGTCGTGCTGGCCGTACGCGTCCCGGGAAGTGCTTCCGTCTGTACACAGAGAAGGCTTTTAAAAACGAGATGCAGGATAACACCTATCCCGAAATTCTGCGCTCCAACTTGGGTAACTAAAAGACTATTAAAATGTTTTAGGTTTATCCTTATAAATAATTGTTTTTGTGTTTTTTAACAGGCACTGTTGTTCTGCAGCTCAAGAAGTTGGGCATCGACGATCTGGTTCACTTTGACTTCATGGATCCCCCTGCTCCAGAGACTCTTATGCGTGCCCTTGAGCTTCTTAACTACTTGGCGGCCCTCGATGATGACGGCAATCTAACTGACCTCGGCGCCGTCATGTCCGAGTTCCCCTTGGATCCCCAGTTGGCCAAGATGCTGATCGCTAGCTGCCAGCACAACTGCTCCAACGAGATACTTTCCATAACGGCCATGCTGTCGGGTGAGATAAACAAATTTTTAGCACCAAACGTTTTCCTTTAAGTTGAGGGAACTATTAGGCTTTGCATTTATGGGCGGAATTTACTTTTACGGCTGTTTAAAAGGTCATTAAATTTTCAATAGGATAGGAAGACGATAAGTTTGCAAACCTTAACTTACCACTTCCATTATTTTATTTTATATATTTTGTATTCCCAAAATATTAAATATAAATTAAATATTATTGTGACTTTCTTAGTAGCAGCCGTAGATCTTCTGCGTTTTAAAATTGAAAATCTTCGAAAGTTTTGAGCTAAATTGGTTTGGTTATCTTTTTCGGACGACCCACAGACTCAACTTGGACAGATCTAAGTCATTCTTAAGCAATAATGCAAAGAAAAAAGTTTATTCAATTTATTTGTTCTTTGCATTCAACTCGAAAAGACAAGTTGCAAATGCGTTGAAAACCCCAAGTCATTTGCCCGTCATTCAAATGGAATGATGAGAGGCTTTGTCGCGTTAAACATTGTGCTCTTGGCCTGGCCCTATGAAATACCCGAACGCATTTGCAACTCACAAATGCAACCAATCTTTAAATCAAGCCTCTAGATTGCCTAGCTGACAAAAAGTAAGCACAATCTATTTGTTTATGTAAGAAATTGTTTTGAACTTACGCTTAATCGAAACCAAACCAATTCAAACGTGCAAAAGTGCCACAATGCTTCGTGCGTCCAAACGAGGCCAAGAAAGCAGCTGACGAGGCTAAGATGCGATTCGCCCACATTGACGGAGACCACCTGACCTTGCTAAACGTTTATCACGCCTTCAAGCAAAGTGAGTAGATCAAAAAGAGAGTCTTGCCGAATCGCAAACTAATCTGGTATTTCCCTCTGCAATTTCAGGCAACGAGGATCCCAACTGGTGCTACGAGAACTTCATAAACTTTCGCTCGCTTAAAAGTGCGGACAATGTGCGCCACCAACTCGCCAGAATCATGGACCGCTTCAGCCTGCGGCGTACGAGCACTGAGTTCACCTCAAAGGACTACTACGTAAACATCCGCAAGGCCCTGGTCCAGGGCTTCTTTATGCAGGTGGCCCATCTGGAGCGCACTGGCCACTACCTGACCATCAAGGACAACCAGAACGTGCAGCTGCATCCGTCGACATGCCTGGATCACAAGCCTGACTGGGTCATTTACAATGAGTTCGTGCTGACCACAAAGAACTACATCCGCACGGTGACGGATGTTAAACGTAAGTAGTCCTTCTTAAACTGTACTCAAGCTGAAAACCATAATTTCAACCATGTTTACCCATTTTAGCCGAATGGTTGCTCAGCCTGGCGCCCCAATATTATGACCTGAACAATTTCCCGCAGTGTGAGGCGAAACGGCAGCTGGAGTTGCTGCAGCAGCGGATGGAGACCAAGCAATACCAGAAGGGTTTCTAAATCACAAGGACATGGCTAGGTGTAAACGCATTGGGAGGGGATCATGGATATCAATGTGTGAATTTTAGAGAGTTCGGAGATAACCTTTCTGAGAAAAATGAGACGTTTTGCTTTTTATCGTTTACTGAATTAAAACATAAGCACATAGACACTTCAACAGATCAGTAATATCCAAGAACTCCGTTTAGTGAATAGTGTTAATAAAAGAAGCCACTTTTTATATATATAATATTTGCCTCCTTGTATTAGCCGTTGGTCCTTTGAAACTGTATGAGTATCACGAGATAGGTGGCTATGGCCGAGGCGAACTAAAATTAAAAGGGATAGAATAATAGATTGCTTAAATACGGTATAAGATATGTCTTTACCGATGTCAAGATCGTGCGGTTGACGCGACATAATCCACAGGCGGAGAAGTCGGCATCGACCACAAGTAACTGCTGCCAGAACTTCTTCACCGCTTCCGCAAGTATGGGCTCGTGTACCTTTCGCTCGATCTCGCAGACTATCTGAATAGTTTTGCGCGACTCGCGGGCAGCCAGGTGACACGGCTCTACCACCATGAGCAATCGCAGGAAATGAAAGCATATCCAGAGCATCTGCACCCACAGGTAGCCGTTGTCCCGCTTGCTGAGCAATTCCAGGAACAGGAAGTAGGCGGTGGCAACCAAGTGAAGTAGGCAAGACACCATGATGAAGAGCACCGCAACGCCAAAGGAGCTATTCAAATACGGCAAGAGTTAGAAGCGGTTAAGCACAGGGTAAGGAAAGCTCTACTTTGACAAGAGATGGACACATTTGCCGAGCGACTCGTGACTGTCGGCCAACGACTTAAGGAGCAGCCCCTTGTTCTTGGCTGGAAAATAACCCAATTTGAGTAACTCCACGTTCAGGATTAGGCTGCGGGCGGCTGCCTTGTCACCTGCGGATTCGCTGGGCAGAGTCTCGCTATTTAGCTTTGTGAGGCTGGCGTGTAAAGCCGGTGGCATCGCGGGACGGTTCACGCTGACGTTCTTCACAGTGCTAACCTTGTGCGGCTTCACGGCACTGGAGGCATTGTTCTCTGCGGAATTGCGAATAACTAACTGAAGGTATTGCAAGTCTAGAAGCGACTTACCACCAAGAAAGCTGCTGGAAAGCATCCTATTTAGGCGTCCAAACCGCCTTCCAAGTCCATAGGCGGTGTTTGCAAAGTTTACTTGCAGACCCGTGAGGATAAAGTAGAGACCGTAAAACGGAATGTACCAGTGCACGTTGAGCTCTATGGAGAAGAATGGAGGATAAGAATAACATGTTTAGAGCGAAATTTATATATCGGTTTAGAGTTTCTAGCCGGGGTGAAATTCAATGTTTCTAAGCACAATCGAGAAAAAAAATATATAAATATGTATGTAATTTCCTGTAGTAATAGCATACAACAATTTTACCATAATAATACTTGCTGCAACTTTTCAAGTACATATCTTGTTTAAAGTAATTGTAGCTTATTCGGTCTGTTGACAGCATAATGGCGAACCAAATTTGAATACTTTGAAGTAATTTTAAAATGGCCTTGGCCATTTCTACTTGAGGCACTATGTTGGGGCATAATTGGGACAAAAATCAGCCGTCAAAATTTGTTCTCTGAATTAGGGCCAGGCCCGTATCCAGAAATTTGTTTCTAGGGGGGCTCAAGGAAAAAAATCAATAAAAAATGCGGACTTATTCGAATAAATTCAATAAATTAAATTAAATTTGGCTTTGTATCAGTCTACTGATCTATACGTTCCTGTTAGGTCAGCTTTCTTCTACTGAAGACTTTTTAATGAAAAGTCTTTAATAGAAAAAATTTTGGAATTCAAAAATTTCCCGGGCACCCCCCCTGGATACGTGCCTGATTAGGGCGTCTTTCTTTTCGAATTTATGCGGTTGCCTAGGGTTATAAGTTGGTCGAAAAAATATTTACAGTTTAGATGTAGCTTTATAATTCCCATTTTTTTTTTTGCCAAAAATTCGTTTATTGCATAAATTAAGTATGAGCTTCTTTTAATGCCAACAATTGAAATACAACGGCCTTGCATAATAATTTCAGTCAGAAGTTTGCAACGCAGTGAAGGAGACCCCTCAGACCCCATAAAGTATATATTCTTGATCAGCATCGCAATACAGCGCGTGTTTTTTGAACACCCGAAAAGCTAAAAATCGGATAACTCTATCATAAAGCTGCCATAGAACGATCGAAAAATATATGTATACATAAATAATGCAAAAAAAAAAATATAGCGTCGTTGTTTTTTATTACACGAGCAAATATAGAGTGTTCTAATAACCCTTGACCCCCCCGACATAGAAAAAATCGGAAAACCTATATAGAATAAATGGAAATAAAATAATAACATCGTTGTTTTTCATCATGACGCAATAACTACCCAACTTTTAGTAAAGTTTCAACAAGATAGCTTTAAAACTGAGAGACCATGTATTTTACATAGAAACAGACAGACAGACGTACAGACGTAATTCGATGCGGATAAAAAATATATGTATACATATACATACTTTATAGGGTCTGAGGTGTCCTTTCACTGCGTTGCAAACTTCTGACTGAAATTATAATATCCTCTGTAAAAGTATAAAAACGATGAAGTTGGGCCGTAAAGTTGGTGGCCAAATTCGATTTATTCGGGGCGTGGTGTTTATGCAACGGGACTGATTTTGACTGAGACCGATGTGGTAACCCTGGATATAGTCGTACGATTTTCATAAAGCTTTAAAACTCAGAAACTAGCATGTATGAAAACAGACACACGGAGAGACGTAAATGTTTTGATCGGCTCAAATTGTTAAACTAATAATATATGTATGTACATATATGCTGGGGGTTATGAGGTGTCTCTTTTACAGCGTTTCAAACTTGGGACTAACCATATAGTACCCTTATTTTTGGTTTTGGTATACACGATGATCACTACCTACCCGTATCAGAATGCGCTATATTCATATCCTGGGCTATGCGCATCCAGGTTCCCACATCTAGGCCGACCAGAAGGGATATGGCCACCAAGGACACCGTTGCCATTGCCAGGGCTCGCCATCGATCCCTTCGGAAGTTGTTGTAGGCATTTAAAGTGTTGTCAATCTAGTGGGAGCGGTCAAAGAGATTATTGAAATCGATTTGATGTGACCTCACCCTGCTGAGTCGAGAATTTAGCTCAAGTGTGTCGTTAAGGCTAAAAAGGCCACAGTACACACCCGATACAATGGCCATGACCACCACAGAAACGTCCAGTGCCGTCACCACCTTCGACGTTGCCGACTTCATTCTAAAAGATGCACTTTTGATTTGTTGGTTGGTTTTGTTTGCAGTTTGTCAGAGCAATTAATTTGTCAAGATCAAATGTGTTTAGAAGGAAGCGAAGGTGAGGATTAGATAGAGAAAATCGAGATAGAACAACACACAGATTAGGTCCGAATAATGCCACTTAGCACCCGTATGCAGACTCATTTGCTGGATTATGGTCCAGATACAGATTTAAAGTAATTAATAAGAAATTTTATGTAACTTCTGTTACAATTAAAAAATATAGTTTAATAGGAAAGTTAATTTTTTCTTTAAGTAAAATACAAAGAAATAACTACTTCTTACAAGTAAACTACATTTTTATCTGAATTGATCGATGATTTTATCCTAAGTGACATTATTTTAAAGTCCGTATGGGACGTTCACGAATACTGATTATTAAGAAACGACACAGAACTACGGCCTTTAGAAGAAGAACATACGAGTATAAAGAAATAAAATACCGAGAGAAACGCGGAAGTACCTACCGCACGGGTGTTTCGGAGTTTGCATCAAACAAAAGTCCTCGATAGGTTAGAAAAACTACGAGAAGTTGACATCTGTGAGTCGAAAGAAGTCACCAACTTTTTGATGCCCCACTCACCCATTACCACTGTCAAGGTGGCCGAGTAAACCGTGAATATCCAGCTGCGAGCGATTTCGACTTGCCCCTTGGAGTTCCGGAGCGTGGCATATGGAGCCAGAGCCAGAACTTTGCTGATGTAGAAGATGCTGATGCTGGGCTGAGATATTTCCATTGCTACACTGGACTAGCGATACTCGCTGCTCGACCTCCGGATGAGAACTGTTCTCGAGTGGCCAAATACACGACCTTAAATTGCAAAACACCATATTCGACACCAAACAAATAATGCGCTCCCATATTTGACTATTATTAGTGGCCAGCCAACACCACCCCCGCGCCTGCAGGACCCTCCGGCAGACCGTCTGGACAAACACCCCATGTGCGAGTGAGTAACACATTTGCTTATCAAAAAGCTCCGCTGTCCGCGATGTAAATAATAATTAGCGTGTGAAAATACCAAGCCAGCAAGGACATAGGAGCCAATTATTTTCGGGCCCGAGTTGACAGCTGCAGCAGCTGCGACAGGTGAACACCGCTGAATGAGGTCCACGGCCCAATTGTTAAGCAGTTACTCTTTTATTTTAACGGTTCTACGTCGGAGTCTCCACTCGGCAGCCCGGTGCCGTGGTGCAGGCGTTAAGGAACAGTGACAGATGCTGGATTAATTAAATTAGTAAGTGGTAGCCAGTCTAGACTGAGTGGGCATTGAAGATCTCGATCCAGTAGCCGTCGGGGTCCTTGATAAAAGCCAGTCCCTTCATGCGGCCGTCGTCGGGTTTCTTGACGAAGTCAACGCCAAGCTCTTCGAAACTGCAGGGCACAAAACGAAGAGATAGAGGTAGCTTAATTTAAGTACTGATTTGTTACCGTTTACAAGCGGCGTAGACATCGGGCACCATGAGTCCGATGTGCCCGAAGCCACGGGGATCGGCGTTGCCGGTGTGGTAGCTCTGATCCGGATCGCTCTCAGTTCCCCAATTGCTACGCATTAGCACAAAAAAAGGTAAGACAAATAAGATTTACATAGTATAAGAACATATCATCATTTCAATATTTAAACTAAAACTTATTCTTAGTCATATAAAATTTGTCCAATTTTTTAAGCTAATACAAAAATCAAATCTTTTTTTGTTACTTATTCAAGGTCAACATGAATGTATATGGTAAACATATATATATACGAATGTTTTTTTCAATTCTCGAAATAAATCTCTTAAACACTCTTACCCTCTTATAAATAAGGACAGAAACGAGCTGCCTAAATCATAATTTGTATACCCTTATGTTTTAAGAAATCAAATTGATGATTATATGTTAGGAATGTTGTTTTTAAACTACGTATTAAAAAAAGACTTTCAGCATTTCACTTTTTTTTAAAGAAAGCATTTACTCAAGGTAAACTTAAAACCTCGTAATTAGTACATTTGTTTAATTTGCTTTCTTGTTTGGGATTATTTATCCCAATATGGTATGGTATGGTAATAATCGCCATAAAGAGACTCTCGTATATACCACACTTGATATATGTACATATATACGAACTGGACAGCGATAATGTATAAAACTACTTTAAATTTGCTATTTTACTTACTGGGTTAACTCAATGGTGGCTTTGCGGCTCATTGCCCAGCTGCGTCGCTCTTTGGGATCTTTCGGAACATCGGCGGAATTCTCGTAACTACGGAAGATAAGAAACCAATTGTCATCATATCGCCAAAGCAATCAAACTTACCCCAGAAAGTAAAGCGAGAATTTGGCCTCGGGAAAATCCAGTTTCACTAGCAAGGTCATCCCAAGGACACCGGTGTAGAAGGGCAAAGACCTGCGTGGATCCTTGATCCTATACATGGTCTGCTGGAACAGGAAGTCCTGCAAAAGCCGCATGTGTTAGTGGCACTTTTTGACATGGCGGCTGCGTTGGGATTTCTTCTTTGGATTGGCTCACTTTGGTGGACGTATCCGGCTTCTGGCACAGCTCGTCGGCTTCGGCATTGCTGAGTCCAGTAACGTCTCCCATTTCTAGGTTTTTGATCAATTAATCAACACCTGTTGATAAAACTCGAGAGGAAGTTTTCAGTGTGACCGCGTCTTGACCGGTAAACGATACCACAGTGCTGATAAAATGTACTAGATCTTGCTAGATAGCAAGCACCCTTAGAAAGCCGACTATTGCATACACCAATTTATAAAACATTCATGATTTCTGTTTCAATTACATACATTTTTGCTAAATAAATAAAAACACTTTTAAAGGATAAACAATAAAAAATATAGAATAACGATTAGAAATTTTCGGTCTATAACCTTTCCATTGAAAGACTGATAATTGATATGGTTTCCATTGGAAACTTTCCAAGCGCTTATGAAAATATTTTAAGCAGCTGTAATAAAAACTGTTTTTTTCCTGTTTAACGAGATTTTTAAAGTATACCTTAAATTTTTTTTCAGTTTTCAATGTTGAATGTTTCAATATTCATGTTAACTAGTAAATCTAAAAAAAAACATTCAACCAAAGCCATAGTGAAAATGAAAATAAATAATTTTATTTATTCTCTTCATGCGCACCTTGATAATGATTAGTTTTTAATTCATGGTTTCTCACCTTAATTTCCTAGCCCTTCCAAAAAGATTTTTTCAAAATGTTTAGATTTTTTTATTTGATTTGTTGACTGTTTAATGGTCGGTATTAGAACTAATTTAACTGAAAGTAATATTTTTAATATTTGTTGTATATAAAGTCGTGTACATGCATGTTTGTATATAATATATATATTTGCTTATTAAACTATGTTAGTTGCTTGATTTCATTGTGATCTTAGGCATTTTCGGATTTTATTTAGAATTAGTTATAGATTCTTTGCATATGTATATTGTGCTTATGATTATCTGAATCATTTTGTTCTTTTCGTTAAGTTATTGTTGATTTGTTTATAATTTTTTTGGTGTTGTTATTGATGCTCACTTCCAGTGCGCCCAAGAGTGAGTTCCCGAAAAACTCATCCTAGACCGAAAAACAATTAAATCCTATACATACTTTAATGTAGAATGTACAAAAAATAATTGGTATTATCTCCCTTTCGCTCTGACTGATCCTCAGATATTGGTCGTTTTTCTCGTGGATGGTACTTCATAAATACAATTATTTGTTGGCTTGGCAAATTAAATTGTGTTAATATTAGTAAGTGTGTGTATGGACCATGTGCACGCTCGCACATTTGGAAGGAGTTGTGTTTTGAGTGAGTGAAGTATTCTGCTCGGCCTTTTAACAAATTTTTCTGTATTCTGGGGAAGCATAAAACAAAAATGGTTTTCACCAGGCCGGTTATTTCTTTTCACATTTATTTTTCTTCGTTGCTTTTAACTATTGCAAGCTCATAACAAAATTGTAATAATAGGATACATTTAAAATTAATTAAAAAACTACAAATAAATTCAAATAAAACATGAGCTAAAAACATAAGTGTCTTTATACCGCACAATATGTCACTAATAATGATAAGGGACTAAAATACATTCGTGATAAATATAGCTAACAAATAAATCAAAAACAAACATTCAGATGTATTTTTAGTTTTTGAAAATATAAAAATTGACAACGATATTTTTAAGCTTGACTAAGAAAAGTAAGTGAAATAAAGACAAACAAAATAAAACATGAAAATATCATTCGAAAAATGGGTATTTTCCCTTTTGGTATTTGAATATTTTAAAATCATATTTAGGCTTAGAATAAAATGCGTAATTAATGGCAAAAATCTGCATCCGGTCACTGTTTTCTTGGAAACCTAAAAGGTATATTTTAGATTAGCAGCAACCTGATTAAAAACTAAATAATTTCCGTAGTTGCAATTCTACATCGTTTGTTTGCTTCTCTTTGTTATCGTGGGTGTATTTGCATGCGACCTTTTTAAGACTTCAAACATTACATAATTTTTAATTTCGTATTTAAAATTAATAAGCTTCGACAAAAACAGATTAAGGCTGTAATTTGTGTTTAATTTGATTTTTCTTGTGTCGTTTTAATTTATTGTTTTCCAGCACATTGGGATGGACTAAAACTAATGATTAAAATTAATTAATATATTTTTGTGTCGTGGAGTAGAACTAAGAATTTATTTATTTAGAAAAATTTCACTAGCAAGAAAAATCACCCCTCATAAACTACAAATTAATTACACGCATATAGACAGAATATCAATAATTGTTGTTGCTCTTGTCGTTGGTTTTGTCAAATAAAGGATGTTAAAACAAACCTAAAACAGCTAATCGTCATCATCGTCGGACGAATTTGACGATAATTGTAGATCGTTCTGTAGCAAATCGTTTGGAAAGCCCCCATTGGACGCATAAATGCCGGACTGTTGCTTTTGCTGCTGTTGCTGGTTATGATGCATCTGCTGCTGCGGATAGTGATTATTGCCGTAGGCCGGTGATATGGAACCCAGGCCCAGGTTGGGCAACTGATTCAGGTGCTGCTGAGTTTGAAACACCTGCGCTGCTGTCTGCTGTTGCTGCTGATGATGCTGATGCTGCTCTTGCATGGGGCGATCGTCCTCGGTGCTGTCATCGGAGTCGCTGCCGCTGTCACTGTCGCTGGAATCCGAGTCGGAGCTTGAGCTGGAGGCACTCAATGCCCCGCCAATTTGCTGCAAGCACCAACAAAAAAAAAATACTCAGTACTATTTCTGAAAAAATTAGTCTTCGAAATCACCTGTTCCAAAGCGGCAGCCGCTTGCGCCACGGACTGCGAAGTCAGTTCCTGTTCGCGGACCGAGTCCAAGTCCATGGGCAAACTATTGCCATGGCCGTAGGCCGATGGTCGCTGCTGGTGGAGCTGCTGCGGCGAGAGCCGAGGCTGTTGCTGTTGTGCGTGGTTGTGGCCGCCGTTGTAGCCACGACCATAGACCGATTGCTGCTGGTGGTGCTGTGGCTGATGCTGCTGATGTTGCTGGGCCATCGGGGGACTCGAGCGCTGCTGCATCTGCTGGCGCTTGCCATGGCCATGCTGGGGAGCCTGCCTCTGCTTGCCCATGTGCGAGGTCGAGGTCGTGGATCCAAAGTCCGGCTGGCCTGTCGTCGAGCCGGTCGAAGAGCCTGAGGTATTCGCTTGACCGCTGTTGTGCAGGGCTGCCCTCAGCCCAAAGTCATCGTCGTCGGTGATCATGGGAATGCTCGGCAGCGTCTGCTGTGCATTGTTTGCATCCCAACTAAAAGGTAAAATCCATTAGGTAAACACCGCCAAGCTGCGGAATGAAAAAACATACGCTGGTGCAGATTGTGGACTGCGGTGGACTGGCACTGGACGCGATGGTGAGCTCTGCTGCATGGGCGAATTGCGCGGCTTGAAGTCAACTGAAAACATAAGAAAATTATAAAATCATAATTTGCAGATTAAAAATTCTAAACATCCTTCACTAACTAAGTAGGGGAGAAGTGGGGGTTGTGGGCATGGGTCGGTTGTGGGCACCCCTACGTAGGTATATTTTCACAAAATGAAGATTGACTTTTGTTGGTAATGTCATTCGCAAGCAATTACCCTATGTATGATTTGTGCCAAATATCAAAGTAAACGAACGCGTTTGCTTTTTGAAATTAACGAATTGGTTTTTCTTGTGCTTAGAAAAGGTGGTGAAACTTTATTCAAAGATTTTCAATAGTGTATCAATTAAGATGAATCGATTAAAAAGGTAAGTGTAATGCATTTTTATTTAGTCAAAGCAATATACTAAATGGAACAATATCGATTTGAACCAAAAAATTTATGCAAACACATTTTTTAATTACTTCTTAAAATGCCTGCGAAAGTTGGTTGTGGGCACCAAAATTGGGTGGGTTGTGGGCACCCGTTTTTTTTTTGGCAAATTTTTTTATTACCTACAATTTCTTGTAAAATTGTTTTCAAAATTTGTTTGGAACCCTCTAGAACAGGGTTTCCCAAACTTTTCGGGACCGCGACCCATCTACACAAAAAATTGCAAGATCTATATGACAATTAGTACCCACCAAAAATCTACCCGCGACCCACCAGTGGGTCGCGACCCACACTTTGGGAAACACTGCTCTAGAACATTCTTGTAGAAATCTTAGGCTCTTGGAAAAGGATCCTCTCCCGCTGAGAGGGAATATCACTAAGCTTTTCACACTTTATTCTTCATTTTTCGGCTTCCAGAATATTCGTAAGATATAGATTATCACTAAGAATTCCACGCTTTATTCTTTATATTTCGGCTTTCAGAATATTCGTGAAATAAATAAATTGTCATTTTGTTGATATTGGTTGCGGTTTTTTTTCCATATTATTCCATTTGCAGCATTTTTCCCAGGGTGCCCACAACCCCCCCAAAAAAAAAATGTAGCTAAAAATTACGATTTTACAAAAGTCCATATGAAATTTTTTCGCATGACAAAGTCAAGTATGTTTCTTCATAACTAGTTAGCTTAGGTCTCTAGCTTTACACAGATACCCATATCAGTGCTGCCAGATTTTGAAAGATAAATTAAGCTAGATTGAAGAAAAAAATAAGCTAGAATAAGCTAAAAATTAAAAAAAAAAAGCTAAAAATATGCTAATCATGGAAAACATTAAAATAATTGATTTTTTTACTTTTATTGATACGATATTGATATGATATTTATATAACTATTATAGTTAAGAAATAATTTCATCAACTTCATCATTAGATTCCATATATTTGGCGGAAAGCGAGGTATTTCGTTGGAAGTTGGTAGTCATGGCAACATTTGCTATGACGCAGTCCATATCTCTCGTCGTTTCTAAAACAACGCAACAACAATCGCAAAACAAATATGTGCAAAATTTCAGAACTTGCTAAAGATTATTATTAAAGTACAACATATATGACTTTGGTCCAAATTATCGAAAAAAATTACCAAAAATTATAATACAATCAAAAAACAAAACATATTTTGTTATAAATTTTTTTAAGCCGAAATTAGCTAAATGAAATTTGAAATAAGCCAGATTTTAAGCTATATGCATTTCAAGTATTTTTCAAGCTATTTCATTTTAAAATATGCTAAATCTAGCTTGAAATAAGCTAAAATGGCAACAATGACCCATATGTCCAAATAATATGCACTAGTTCGGTAATTATAAGCCAAAAACAAAACTATGCCCACAACCCCCACATCTCCCCTACTAAATGTACAGAACAACACTTAAGTCTTAGTTGTTACTAGCTACACACAAACTTAATGGTTAACTTATCTTTTTAACGGCTCCGACGAAAGAGTGGGAAACGAATAAAAAATAAATATAGCAACATACATATTGCTCCATACAAATTTTTAAATATTGATCATTTTTGAGATGACATTTCTAAAATCATTCAGTGGCTATAAAAAAAGGTAACGATATACCTCATGTTCTTTAAAAAAATCGTAAGCTAACATTGTTCATTTTAAAAAAATTTGATCCGAGTTATTTATTATTAATAAAGCCAAAAATTGTTTTTTATACATGTTGAATACTTAAAGTAAAGATTCATCATTTATTTCATTTTCTGTAAAGCCAAAACTGATAACTTAAAGAGCTAATAGAAATCCCTAAAGTGTTCGTTACTTACTTATATTATTTCGGCGGCTGCCCGTGGAAACCTTCGTCTTCGATGAGATTCGCATGGTGCTGTTTTCCATTTTGGGGGCAGCTCCGGATCCGTGCCCGGGAGCTCCTGATCCGTTAGTGCCCTGACTGTGGCCCTGAGCCATATTCGCGGATGCATTTTGAGTGGGCAGCAGGACTGGCTTGTTGGTAACTTCACTCCTGCAATTACGTAGTTGCTAACTGTATGAAATTCAATGTACAAAATGCACCCACCGTGTCTTCTTCACTTGTATGTTGTGGTTCAGCTTCTCTATCGTGATAGCACCCGTCTCCTTGTCGTAGATCATCAGGCACTCCTTTGCATACTCCCTCTGATTTCCCTTATAAACTGTATGAGGCACACCGGAACTCTCTGCCCAATAAATAAAATAAAATAAAAACGTTTAGCCTTTCAAATCAACAAGTTGAAATAAAACAGCTTTGCTGTGGGTTCAGCCAATGTCTGAACAAAATTTAAATACGTATCACGTGTTTTGTATTAATTCGTAATTTTGTAATTCCAACCCCAAAAACTCTTGAAAGTCAAGAACATTATATAAATGTAATTAAAAATACAAAGGTGTTACTACTTAGGCATTTCTGAAAATTAGGCATTTAAGAAAAGTTTATTTTGAAATGAATGCCTACACATCCGGTTTAGGCATTTACAAACAATTAATCAATATCAATATCCCTAGAAGTAGTAAACCTTCAAAAGTTTAAGTCGAATGACTTAAGTACTAAATTAAAAGGTTATGTGAAATGGATGGATTATGCATAGAAAAAGTCCGATTAAGCGGCTTAAAGACAGACTTATAGTTTAAAATTTAGTGCATTTTAAACAATCCACCATGCGGCTTAACGTGGTTTCCTTGGGTGAGTTCCAAAATCTTAAAAATCCAAGAAACATTCAAATTTTTTTAGGGCCCTTATAGTGCTTCTTTATGTTATGCGATCGGCGAGTTTAAGACCCAACTCATTTGTTATGTTTGAAAAAATTAAAATGGAAGCACTTGATAACGTTTTGAACCACTTCAACAAAAAGTTCACTTTTCTGGAAACTCAAATTTTTGGCGAAAGAAATAGAAATAACAATATCCCAAAGAAGGATAATATGAAAGGAAGTCAATTTTTAGACACACTGGTTAAACTTTGTGAATCAGAAAGAGGGAACTCTACAAATCCAGGTTTGGATTTAACAGTTCGTGCAGAAAGTATAAAAAATATAAATAATATCAAAAATAACATACAACTGCCGGAAATTAAAATACCCCCAATCACGGTTTTCATCTTGAAGAATGCTATGAGAGCCGCTTCTCACAACACCATTTTGCTTGAGCCTTCACATTTAAAACCACCGTCAAGAACAATGGATGCGCAAAGAAAAGGATTGGCTACGGACGTGAATAGGTGTGTACTTATGAAAATCAAGGAATTAAACGTCATCAGACCGTGACCAAAAATAATATAAAAAAATATCTACATGAAAACATTTGAATAAATTCCTTGGATTAATACTAAGAAAATTATTGTAAGTCTTTTTTTAATGCTTTTGGGTGAGGGAAGCTTTTATTTTGGAATGTTGGAATGTTTTATACAGTTATAAATCATGGTTGCTAGGGCAATTCGATACCCATTAACTCCCATGCAAGACTAATGGATTCAATATACTAGGTATATAAGAATGGGAATGTGAATGTGAAAGCTAAGTAATACCCCTAAAATCTGAGATGCGACTTTTAGCTGTATATCTGGGTAAGTTGGCGGCCTAAAAGTTCTGATTGAACCACAATAACTCAACGTTTTCTTAGCTGTCTTTTACCTTTCTCTAAAAGAAATCAAAACAACAACGGCTCAATTTTCCGAATTACGGTCCTGGTTTGAAACAAAAGTAAAGGGGCGGCTAGATACATCAACGATAGAAACACTCAAACAGCTTTGCGCTAATGAAGTGAGAAGAAGAAACAAGCCTCAAGTAAAGATTGACATAGACAATGAAAATACTTTAGAAAACGTCATAAACATTCCGCCCATTGAAATGCCAAACATTACCGTTGTCATTTTAGGAGATCATTTGCGACAAAGACCTATATCGGCAAGAACGAGTAACACAAAACTAATTGAACTTTTCAAAGAATGCATGGAAAAAAAATTAAAAATTTTAAAGAATTAAATAAAAATAAAAAAAATTATATTTCGAAAAAGCCTATTTTCTTACCTTCTTTTATTGTGCACACTTAGAGGCGTGCGAAGCAGTTTAAAATGAAATGGTTTAAATTCTCAACCTAATTATCTTTTTATTCATTGATTTTTTTTAATTTAGTGTTTTATTTCACTGGACCATTCCGTGATGTTTATCAAATATTTATATATTATTTATGAATACAGAAAAGTACCAGGAGGGAGTTTTTATAATAAAGGAACATATTTCTAATTTCCTAAAGTACAGATTTTGAGGCATCGTTAATAAGATTAGGTTCGACTTTCATGCATAGCGTTCCCACTTATATTTTCTTGTTTAAAAATAATGGACCAAGAAAAAATTTATTAAGAATTCGAGTGCAGTAATGTATTTAAACATTTACTGTTAAGATGTGTGGAGCTTTTCGACTGCTATTGCTTTTAATGTGTAAGTATGCTCAAACTTGGCGTGAACTTTGTCTATAGTTTGAGGTTTAAGCATGAAAAGTACCAAATTTTAAATTAATCTTAATGCAATCTTATCGACTTCCATTGCAGGTGTGCTCTTTGGCCAAGCGAAAAATCAATCAGATCACGCAAAGTTGAAAAGGCTGACCTCGGATCTGGTAAATGCCATTGCAGAAGCTAATTCTGGAAAAAAGTACGGAACCGAATGGGTATCGGGCCTGGGACAGGCTCTCGAGGAGGTGCAGAGGACATCATCTCAGCGCTGCTTTATGCTGGGTATCCTAATAAAGAAAGTGACAAAGCTATGTCCAGCGCCGCCCTCATATTTACCCGACTGCTATCCGAGTTGCTACTCTCCATCAAAACCACCACCTCCGCCTCCGCCTCCACCTCCAGCGACTCCACCTCCTCCCACCGGTTCCGGAATTATCGCCCCGCCCCATCCTTCGTACGATCTCCAATATCCCGATGGGTCCTATTTTCCCTGGTGCTACATGCCCTTCTGTCCCACCATTTGCACCGCACCCTTCTGCTATCCTTGTGTAGCTCCCCACTGCGATCCTTCGTGTGTCCCACCGAGTTGCTACCCACCCTGCAACCCTCCCCACTGCGAACATGCACCCACCTGTTGGCATCCCTACTGCCCAAAAGACTGCAAAGCTCCCAAGTGCGTTCCTGGCAACGAGGTAGCGACGCAAAGCTGCGTTCCACCATACTGCCCGCCACCCATCAACTGTCAGAAGCCGTACTGCCCGAGAATCTACAGGCCTGTGGCCAGAACTTTGATGGGCCATTGTCCAATGCACGATATTGCCAACAGAGCCTTTGTGTATGGTTAGTCACCTAGCGATTTAAATTATTATAACGAAATAATAAACCAAACTTTGAACGGACAATCTGTTGTTACATGCAAATAAAATAAACAACATAGGGGAGAGTGGGGTTAGGTGAACCATGGGGATAGATGAACCACTAGTAATATTTCACCTTCTATAAGGATTTTGTGCCCCATCAATATGTGTGTTGCTTACTTAGTCGATATCCTAACCTCACACGCACGCACAGTCGCGTCAAACGATGGTTGTCGTTTTTATCGCTAATCGAAGTTTGTATTCGCCTTTGTCACCTTCATTTGTGACCTAATGTTTTCTTGGAAAAATTTTATCGTGCTTCGCCAGTGGCATTGAACTTCATAAAATTTTATTTTATCGTAAGTAGACGCAAATTATGATATTTCCACGGATAGCTCACGCAGTTTAAATATTTCATGTTTTCTTCAAATCACTTCTAATTGGCTAATGACTTGTGGGGATACATGAACCAGTATTTGTGGGGATACATGAACCACCTTTCCTTTTTCAAAGCTGCCTACAACCGATCTCTGGATGCAATGATCAAATCTTTGAAGCAACCATTAACAAATTACGAAGTTGCAGAATGTGTGCATTCCGCGCACGATGCTGGGATTACTCCGAAAAATATCAAATCAGGTTTTGAAAAGAGTGGAATTTTTCCCTTCAACCCACAAAAGTTTTCTGCATCTGACTTTCTTGGGAGTGATTACACTAACAGAGACATGAACACAGAAAACACTCACAATCAAAATTCTCAACAAATGGCAATCGTACAAGATGAAATTGTGCTCCTGAACACTCCTGCGAGGAACAATAACTCAGTCGAGTCCGCAATGTCTCCCAATATTGACCTGGATGATGTTCCTTTGTCGATCAGAAAGCGTGGGTTCTTGTCAGGAAAATCGCCAGAGGACTTACGAGGGTACCCAAAGGCTAAACCACGAAAACAGACGACTCGGGGAAGAAAACGAGGAAGGAGTATCATTGCTACAGACTCACCGCAGAAAAATTGATCGCGGAAAAACACAATAACACAATATTCGAACAGAAAGAAGGCATGCACAAAGAAATAAATTACACTTTTTTTATACAATTGTAGTTTTGGTGTTATTTTGATAGGTGGTTCAACTATCCCCATAGGGTGGTTCAGGTATCCCCACGGGGTGGGGATACCTGAACCATTTGAGACAAAAAATTTAAAATGCTCATAAAGTTAAAAAAAACGTGACATATTATTTTCACAAAATACTTTAAATGCAAAGGAATGAATGCTCTTTTAGTTTCCTATAAACAGCAGACCCTAAAGTCGAATGGTTCAGACATAATAATGTTCAACAAAAAAAGTGGTTCACCTATCCCCACTCTCCCCTATGTAATGACTCGACGAATAATACAATATTTTGGGTCATTTACACGACTGCAAAAGATACTTGATATTCTGTCGACTCATTTATGTCCCTGATTCAGAATCAATACCCCTTATAAAGGCTTAAATAGAAAATAGGAATCATAATGGAGCATGGTTTCGTGGTAGACAAAAATATTTAACATGGAATTACGTTGCCATCTTCACAGAAAGTTATAAATTGTAAAGTAATAATTGTAAACGGTGCAAAACCAGGACAAAAGTGCGTTATTCGCACAAGGTGTTTCTGAAAATAACTTTTAAAACGCATTTACTAGTTTGCGCTGAAACAATGCGAGTACCTTTAGTCATCGGACGAATCTGTTAGTCCGTCAAGAGCTCGGAAGCTATGTGTATTTAAGAAATAAATAGATTTCTGTCTTAACAAGTTTGTACTAAAATTTTCTATAAGAAGTTCAAAGGTATTCCCCTGTTATAAGTATTACGCCTACGTGTAAGAAACGGGTATCGGTAGTTATCTAATATTAGGTGGGTATGGTGTGACCGATATCGCAATTGTCACGCCAGCTGTGTATCATCTAGGGGTCTAAACCGTCTTTGATCGCCACCAGGAAATGTCTGTTAAGCGGATAGCAGTTCTAGTCGTTTGTAAGAATTTTTCATCCGAAGTCGAGAACATACTAATTTCAAAGCAAAGTTCTCTGCCTACAGGTGCACATGGGAGAGCCCTTTGGTGGCTTATTTAATCACATAGAAAAAATGGCATCTAAAGTGTTGAATGCTACCGGAACTTCAATACAGAAGAGCGGTAATGTTGGTTCCAAGCTTGGACAGGTATTGCAGATTGTTGGGGACGCTAAAGTCTCCAATAGTTCTTTCAGTCCATTGGACTTAATTCTAAGTGGATAACCTAATCAGTGCAAATTCTCTTTTCTTTTTTTGGATCTAAAAAAATAAATAAACAGTAAATTGTTTTGTCTCTTTTTACTTAAGTTATATTCAACACGGATGTAAAACATTTCTGAATCTTCCTGCCACACATTTTTCCGCAAACTCTTCCATATTCAAGACATAGTTGAGTATACATATGTACAGTGCGGTGCATACAGTATTTTTACTATAAAACCAACATTGTAGTAATAACCATTGAAAGTCGCTCCGAGGACTTGATTTAGTACTCTTTAAATATTATACTAATTTATATTTTTAGAAATGGTTGGAAAAACCAAGAAGCTAGCTTCGGCGAACCCAAGAACCAAACGCGAAAGGAAGCTAGCTTCGACAAGCCGAATCTTATATACCTTTGCAGTCATCAAATATGTCTCTTGAATTACGAATTAAATTTCATTAAAATCGGACAACTACATCATATAGCTGTCATACGAACAATAGTCGAAAATATGGAAAATTTATAGAAAAATCGTCTTAGCTTCGATGTTGTTTAACCTTTATGCATTTTGTTCGACATATTTTATGACTGCAAGGGTATATAAGCTTCGGCTTGCCGAAGCTAGCTTCCTTTCTTGTTAATAATAAAGTTCAATGTATATTAATCTATACTAATATTATAAAGAGGTAAAATTTGTTTGTTTGTTTGTTTGTTTGTTTGTTTGTTTGTTTGTTTGCAGGGAATAGGCTCCGGAACTACTGATCCGATTTAAAAAATTCTTTCGCCGATAGAAAGCTATATTATCGTGGAGTTAAATAGGCTATAATTTATTTTAAAAAAATTAGGGATCCGTAAGAAAATTGCAATATTGTCGCATATAAAGTGAGTTGCTACCTCATCACACCGACAAACACGCTCCCATAGCATTTTAACTCAATTTTTGTGTTCACTGTGAAATTGTGAAAAAAAAAATTTTTATTCAATTTAAGTTGAACTGTGAAAATTATGTGGATCGTGCATTTGAGGATAAATTCACCACTCTGTCCATAGTCCAAAATGCTTAGAGGACGACGTGCAAACATTGGCCGCAGACATCCAAGCCAGCAACAAGTATATTCACAAAACTTAAGCAAAGAAAGACAAATGAGCACATGGAGATCATTGGCATCATTCAATCGCATGGCATTCCAATATGACCCCACTGCGAACTACAGTGATAATGAAAATTTAGATTGCAGTGCGTTAAAGCTTAAAAGAGAAACGGCTGGATTGTGGTGCGCAAGTGGAAAAGTCAAACTGGAAAAGTGTTAAATCACCATCTTTCTATACTTCCATATATTTGAAAAATGTTGCAATATTGACTTTTATGTTGTTAAATTGTGTTGACCAGCGAAGCGGACACAGGACCTCTAGTATATGTATAAAGAGGGCACATTCACTTGACAATTTTATGATATTCATTAAATATTTTTATTTTATTTACAAATATTATTAAGTGACAGAAGGGCGTTTTTATGTCGGGGAACGATTATTCACAACTTCCAAGAGCACAGCTTTGTAAGCATTATTAATTAGATTGACTTTCAAGCATAGCATAACATTCCAATTTGTATTTTCTTGTTTAAAAACAGTTGACCAAGAATAAATTTATTATAAATTCGAGTTGACTAATGTATTTAATAATTTACTGTTAGAATGAAAGGAGCTGTTCTTCCGCTATTACTTTTAATATGTAGGTAAAAAATGAAACCTATAAATATTTTAAATAGGATCAGTGTGCCTACAAGTTTTGAAATCTGCCTTTTCCAATTTTATCGACTTCCTTTGTAGGTGTGCTTTTCGTCCAAGCGAATAAGCTAACAGATCACCAAAAACTGAAGAAGCTGACCTCGAATCTGGTAAATGCCATTGCAGAAGCCAATACTGGTAAGAAGTACGGATCCAAATGGGTGCCGCCCCTGGGAAAGGCTCTCGAGGAGGTGCACAAGATATCATCTCGGCGCTGCTTTATGCTACAATATCTGGTTGAAAAGGTAGTAGGACTCTGCCCAATTCAGCCCGTCTATAAACCCGCCTGTTATCCGAACTGCGCACCAAACCCAGAAGCTAAGGTACCCCCACCCGGAATTGTCAGCCCTGGGTTCATTAACGCGTATCCCGATGGGTCCTACTTTCCCTGGTGCTACCCGCCTGGCTGTCCCAGCCTTTGCAATCCACCGTACTGCTATCCCTGTGTAGCTCCATTCTGCAATCCTCAGTGTCTGCCACCGAGATGCAACCCGCCCTGCAAGCCTCCCTACTGCTCTTTGCCACCCAATTGTTGGCATCCCAACTGCCCACAGAAATGTGAAGCTCCCCACTGCATTCCCGGCAACGTGGAAGACACGTCTACCTGCGTGCCACCGTACTGCCCGCCGCCCATCGACTGCCAACCTCCGTACTGCCCGACGCTCTTTAAGCCTACGTCCAGAACTGTCAACATGGGTCAATGCCCAATGAGAGATCTTGCCAGCGGTGTTATGGGTCAGTTTGGTTAGTTGCCGAGCGACTCAATGTCTTTCTTATTCAACATGTTTGTACTTTTGACGAACTAATAAAGAGGAGAGTGCACTTCACCAAACTTTGAACTGGCAAGCTGTTTAAATGAATAAAAAAAACATAAATTATAGACTCGCATAAATTATAGATTGCACGGCAGCATTATGCCGCTTATTATAAGAGAGGCTTCATTGAGTTGGAAACGATTCAAAATAAACGCCTATGTACGTTTTTCGCACAAAATGTTTCCGAAAATTACTTTTAAAAAACATTTACGATTTTGTGCATGGCACAATGCGGATAAGGTTATTTTTTCTAGCCAAGGGCTCTTGATATTAGTTTCCCCATTAGGTACAGTCCTGATTATTCCTTTGCCAACCGAAGGTCCACTCGGGAAACCCACAGAATTGTGTGGCCCCTTTCTTTCACAGCCAGCTCAGCGAACCAGTCCTGATATGAGGATAAAGGTAAGGAAATCATCTTGCCACCCGGTTAAAAACTCAATTTATGAGTAACTAACTTTAACCAAAGTAATTTAAGAATATTTTAAGAACTTCGCAAATAAATTATTTCATTATCGGTGTTTACCGTCAAGAAATAAAAAACGAATATAACTCGCATGTACCCAATAATAATTGTACTATATATTATTGATCGCTGACGTCGTAAGGATCAAAATAAAAATTGGAAATAAGTACCAAAAACTTGCATGTACCCAATAAAGCTAATTTTGTATCTTTTGAAAAATGCCTCTGCTATTCATAGACCCTTATTGTAAAGTACACCTTTTATTTGTTTCTGCATACTTTTAACCAAATTATCAAAAATTTCCTTTTGTTTAGTTTTTACTTTTGCTGGATTCGCAACCAAGAACTACTACGAAATATCCTTGCAGTCATCACAAGTGTCGAGCAAAATGCATAAAGAATTAGCAACCTCGATGCTAAGACGATTTTTCTATAAATGTTCTTTTTTTTTTTCCTATGACAGCTATAGGTATAATAGCGTAATCCGATTTCAATGAAATTTAACTCGAAATTCAAAAGTCCTAAGAGTTCCAATAAACAACGGCGTAATAGTTCACTAATAATCACTAGCATTTCCCATTTTTTTTTGGGCTGGTTAACATTTAATAGTTGCAAACATTTACTCTTTTCTGCACGCCACTGTAAACATGTTGTTGATCACGATCATCGGACGAATGGTCAAAGGCTCGGAAACTACATGTATGTCAACGATAAGGAATCTTAAATTTTTTTTCATTTTCCGTGTCTTTTTTACTAAGGACTTTTGTCACATCTTTGTCTGCAATCGGCTTTAAAACAATGACATAAGTCAAGACCTAGTTAAGAATACATATGTCTTGTAAAACGATAATGTCGTAATATTCATTGATAGTCGCTTGGAGGACTTGATTAGTAATGCAAGTTGAAATTTTCCTATATTTTTTTTAATGGTTGCAAGAAAGATACACAAAACCCAATATTCGCTCCGCTTTTAATCGACCTTAGCATTATGAGTTACCATGGCTTTTGTCAATTTTCCGTATCCAAGCGGATTAGAAACTACCACAAAGATTAAGATTATGGGTACATTTATAAAATGAAATCTTTTTATACCCGTTACTCGTGGAGCAAAAGTATACTGTATTTGTTGAAAAGAAACAGGTCTATGAGAAGTACCATAAAGTATATAAATATTAGTTATTATTATATTATTAATATATTCTTCATCAGGCTCATTATCCGTCCGAATGAAAGTAGAAATATGGGGAACTATAAGAGCTAGAATATTGGGAATAAAACTGTAGGTACTTGTTATTGGTACGCAGCACGCCGCGGGCGCCAAATCTAAGGGGCGCAACAATCTGTCGCGTTCATAAGGCAGAGAGGTAGGGGGCGCAAATTTTCCGCTTTGCCCCGGGCGCCAGTAACCCTAGATCCGCCACTGAACAACATGGACGATATATTTGGATTCTTCATTTAAATACGCAACGAAAGGTTTTTTTTTTTTGCCACGTTCACTTTTACGCCCACAACTCTTGGGCGCATTTTTAACGTCAACAGAATTAAGAAAAAGCTAATTCAATATAGAACTGCCATATGAAAGATCGGAAAAATCTATATAAAATTAATGGAACAAAATGTTGGTTAGCCTTTCAGCATTTAGTTCGACATTTGTGATGATTTCAAGGGTATTAAGCTTCAACTCGCCAAAGCTAGCTCCTTTCTTGTCCCTAATACAATTTATATTTTAATCCTTCAGAACAAGGGTACAATATCCACACAAAAACTAAATGTATATTTAATTCGCCGTTTTTTCCGACAATATGGTCCTATCCGTTTTGTTGTAGCTTCGGGTTAACGATAACGTTGTCATGGTTATTAAAGTGCACCGAATTAGTTACAAAAACTGATGGATTCAACTGAATTCAATGCTTGGCTTGGCCGATGCCGAACTGCAAACTAGTTCAGCATTTTGTGCGCACTGGGCTGCACCCGTCCCATTCCAGGGGAACCGAAAGGCGGGACAGATCGGGCAGTTACGGCACGAATTTCAGACCCACACTTGACCAAATTCCGCAGTTATTGTCGTCGGCGCCTCCAAAACTTATTGGCGACTCGTTGCTCGCAATCAGTGGAGCGTTACACAAGTCAAGTCGGCCGCAATGAGGTCCAACCCAGCAAAAAACCACAGACGATGTCTGGCCACAAAGAGCATAGCAAAATAATACAAGTATGGAGAAGCCGAGAAGAAAAACTTGAACGCTCGGCTGCATTTGCCTGACTTGATGTAATTTGGCGTCATTGCTCCAACGCTGGCCTCTTCTCCCGCCAATCGACTGGCTTTTTTTTGTTTAAATTAAATAGTGCACAGGGCTACCCATTATTTGTTTCTTTTAATGGGCCCTGCAACTGGTTTCTTACATAAAAATGGAAAGATATTGTGTCACGAGGCAGAAAAGCTGTGAATCGACACCTATTCCTTTCCAGTTCAATGGGAATATAACTATACGTGGTAGAGTGCTAAATGTTTCCTGTTTATTATTCTTTTTAAAAATTAAAAAAAACAAGAAAGGAAGCTAGCTTCGGCAAGCCGAAGCTTATATACCCTTGCAGTCATTAAATATGTCAAACAAAATACATAAAGGCTAACAACATCGAACCTATGACGATTTTTCTATTATTTACCATATTGTTCATATGACAGCTATATGACATAGTCGTCCGATTTTGATAAAATTTAATATGTAACTCAAGACTCATTAGAAAACTCTATATTCCCAAAATCATGATTGTCTGATGAAAAACAACGAGGTTATAATTTTATTTCCGTTATTTCTATATAGATTTTTCGATCTTTCCTAACGACATTATAATTTTTTTTCCATTATTTATATATATATTTTTTGATCTCTCCTATGGCAGCTATATGATAGAGTTATCCGATTTTGATTAAATTTAATACGAAATTCAATAGCAGTTAGAAAACGCCATCTGGAAGAAATCAAGTCGATCTGATTAAAAACAACGGAGTAAGAATTTTTTATTTCATTCTCTTGTATGGGAGCTATCCGATATAGTCGGCCGATCCGGCTCGTTCCGACCTATATACTGCGTGCAACAACTACACAACTTTTGGGAAAGTTTCAGCGAGATAGCTTTAAAACTGAGAGACTAGTTTACATAGAAACCGACAGGAGGACAGACGGACAGACAGACAGACGGACAGACGTACAGACGGATTTGGATTCTGATCGTGATGCTGATCAAGAATATATATACTTTATGGGGTCTGAGGTGTCTCCTTCACTGCGTTGCAAACTTCTGACTGAAATTATAATACCCTTTTGCTCTGCAAGGGTATAAAAACTATACATACATAGCATTACAGAACTCTTGTTGTACACAATTTGTCCATTCGTAGTATGATTAAGCTCATTATACTCATAGATATCAGATTTAAAAAAATATGTCAACAAAATAATTAATTTTTTAAGATTTGTACTTCTAAAAGTAGATAATTTTTTTTTGCTTTTAAGAAACGAAAAATGAATAAAAACTCGAAAATAATTTCTTAAGAAAATCGGCATCAAAAGATTACAAATTAAAGCGGACAATTAAAAGCTATAGTTTTGGGAGTAATCATCAATTTGTCAACCAAATACCCAAAGCAAAAATGCATTTTTTTTAAATAAATTGTACAGCCTAAAGGTCTGAGAAAAAAGGTTTTTAAAATACAATATTCTAAATCATGTTGGTGTTGCGAACTTTACTTGTGGCACGTGTTCTTGATTGCTCCCAATCTTATTGCAGAGTTTCCGCATTCCATTATAGGTTTAATGGATTTGATCAGGTGCATTATTTGACCAAGCAGGTGCACTGCCAGTAAAACCAGCTTCTTTCAGACGTATCTTAGCCATTGGAAGCACAGATGCTGACAGCCAGAAAAAAGGAGAGACTTTCTCGATTTCAGCATTCTGGCTAACAGAAACAATATTTCAGTTTCGAAACTTTAGGTTTGTTGGTGAGCTTGCAAAATGTTATTGAGATATTTTTTCGACTCATTAACGTATTTTAATTTTTTAATTAATATAGAGAAATCTTCTGATATTTTAATCATAACGAGTTATATTCCTTTAAAAAAGAATATACATACGGTCATACAAAGAAAATCAATTCGTTCTGGTGAAATGGTGGCGAAATTGTAGCAGTGAATAAATCTAACAATTTAGCTGTTTGGTCCGGAAGGGTATTGTTTCAATAGTAAATGAAACTTAAATATTTTGCTGAAGCGGACTAATATATGTACTAACTAATATACTAACGCATCTCAAACATAAATGTATTCTAAGTTATCATAAAACGGGGTTACCAAATAGAGATAAAAGATAGTGCCATTAGAAGCAAATCCCAAGATTAAAATTTGTAATTCGTGAAATATTAAATTTATTTAATATTAGACAATACTATACGTGAAATAGAGGAAAAAAAGTGTGAAAAATGAGTCTTATAAGAAAGTTGTAAATGTGTTTTAATGCACTCACCTGAATTTGGCACGATAACAGTAACTTGATTGTTGGATCCCACGTCAACCGATGCCATGCGGCTAGTGTCCACGCTCGCTGGTTTGAAATCATCTGCAAGACGAGGGTGAGTTAAGGGAATCTCCTGTGCAAATTGGAGTGGGAATCCCTACAAGCACTTACATTTGATGGTGTGAAAGGCGGTCGAGGTGTTCTTCGGATTGAAGGTTGCGCCCAGCTTCAATTCTCGCACCTCCTCTCCGATATTAAGGCGCTCGGCCAGCGAATTCTTCTGTTTGGTCATCATCATCGTGTTAATATTGTTATTGGGCTGATAAGGCAGGTTGGTGTTGGCGCTTTGTGGGTGGTTATTATAGTTGGTGTGATTGTAATTGGCACTGGTGTGGTTTGACTTTTTATAATTGTTGTTATTGAGGTTGGTTGTGCTGTTTTGATATGACTTCTCGGCCACGTCCGCCACAACGAAGCTGCGCTCCTCGGCGGCGCCACCGCGTTGATGGATTTGTCCACCGTGGGCCGCAGTTGAAGATGAGGTTGCACTCTTGTCACCGCCCACGCTCTGGTTGCCGATTGACGAAGACTTCCGATAATTGCCGCCGTAGTGCTGGCTCGCAGACGCCTTGGCCTTGAGACGCTGCAGCTTGGTGGCCACGGATTTGGGTATTTTTACGGCCGTACTTGTCGCTCCACGTGCTGTTAGTCTTTTGGAACGATGCAAGACTTTTGCCACAAAAGAATTGCACGTCGCAAAAGAAACCACGTTCTCGAGCGGAGGGTTTAAGAAAGTAAACGAAAATAAAAAAATAATAAAAGGGGGTGGTGGGTTGACCTCGCGGCACTGTCTTCTTCTTCCTCAGGGCGGCTGGTGAGTTTCGGTTGTTACATTTGTCATTGGATTTGGTTATTTGTTGGGTCGCTACCTCAATCTTTAGTTCATGCTGGCTTGGCCTTCAGCAGTTTGCCTCATTTCTGCGGAGTTGCCAAAATTAACTGCGATTATTATTTATTTGCTGCCATATGTTTGCGACACTCACACACACGAGAGCAATCAGCATTGCAGCGCTTTAGAGCACTGCACTTACACCTGCTGCTGCCGCTGCCTTTTGACACACATTTCGACTGTGTTTTCCTCTACTTTTCACAGTTTTCCTTCGCATCCGTCTTATTTTTAGCGACACACGATTTCTTCACGGAAATTACAGCTGATCGCGATACAACTGGAAAGCAAACGAATATAATGTGCGTGGAATTATGCGGGAATTTTGCGTTTATAATGCACGATTTACACTGCGAATTGGCACGCGAGCGTAATACGTAAGCAAATCTAAAAGTGAGCGGCTACCAACGGAACGAAAGGGGCGGATGGCTGGGGCGGGGCGGGCACAGCTGAAAACAAGTTTGAAATAGCCGAAAAACAGCAACGTGAAGGTGAAATTTCCGAAAATCGAATTGAAACGTAGACGAAAAGTATCAGTCCATGTGTGTGCACCGTGGGTGTGTGTGTGCGTGTGATGTGATTTTCACGTTTGCGAAGTAGATTGGGAAATTTCTATCCCTTTCCGCCACTGCTATCAAGCTTAAATTTAAAGCATTAAATCAATTTCCTGCTCACTTTGACAATATTGCATTGTCTTACAATATTTACACCTCACGCTGTTGCTTCTCTTTTTACTTTTTTATAGTTTAGTGTGGCCGTGAAGGTGGGAAATCCAAAAATACCAAGTTGGGAGACGATTTATCGAAAGTAAAGAGACCGTTGCTCTGCTAGAACAATAGTTTATACAAAAACCATTTTTGTAGTTTAAAGGTTTTCTTTTAAACCGTTTTTTTTTTAACAGTGCAGGTAGGCAGTGCAGTTTTTTTTAGTTCCATTTTTCTTCAGTATAGAATACCATCTACATCTATACCATATGTATATCAGCCGATACAACAGTAAAGACGAACTAGAAAGGAAGCTATCTTCGGCAATCCGAAGCTTATATACCCTTGCAGTCATCAAATATGACAAACAAAATACATATGGCCAAACAACATTTAAGCTACATATGACGATTTATAATAATAATTTTTCATATTTTCGACTATTGTTCATATGGCAGCTGTATGATATAGTCGTCCGATTTTGATGAAATATTATTCGTTATTCAAGAGTCGTTTGAAAACTCTATATTCCAAAAATCATGTTTGTCTGATGAAAAAGAACGATGTTATAATATTATTTCCGATATTTCTAAATTCCGAGATTCAATAGTAGTTAGAAAGCGCCATCTGCAAGAAATCAAGTCGATCTGATCAAAGACAACGGCATGAGAATTTTATATTTCATTCTCTCGTATGGGAGCTAACCGATTTAGTTGCCTACTACACGACTTTTGGTCAAGTTTCAGCAAGATAGCTTTAAAACTGAGAGACTAGTTGACATAAAAACAGACAGGAGGACAGACGGACATGCGTACAGACGTACAGACGTATTGCGATTCTGACCGTGATGCTGATCAAGAATATATATGTATACCTCATGAGGTCTGAGGTGACTGTTTCACTGCGTTGCAAAAAAAAAATTACGTTCTTTAACTCCACCCGGGAGCATAGAGCCTCTACAGTTTTGTAGAGCATTCATTTATCTTTTGGTTTTCGATCGTACTGGTGATAAGCCAGTAGCGACTTATCCTAGCGATGGGGTTGCCACCTGGCGCCATCTAGGAGTGACGAAAAGTTCTATTGTTGGGTCCATAGTAACGTGGACGATGGGGTGGTGTGCGGGTCCGGGGAGCCTAGAAATGGTGGGGATTTGGAAAAGGATACCGTTTCTTTTTCTCGGGGAGCCTGGGACTCCAATCCCGGCCTTCCGGACCGGAGACCAGCGCTCTACCTGCTAGGCCACCGTCCCTACGTTGCAAACGTCTGACTGAAATTATAATACCCGTTGTTCTGCAAGGGTATAAAAAAGAAAAGAAAATGTTAAGTTCTGTTTGGAATATTTTGAAAGTGGAAAAATAAATTTTAAAATTTAAAAACTATTTTATGTAGAAGTAAAATGCCTTAAAAATCTGCGCTCTTTATAAATTAAATTAAACGAATGAAAATGATAACGTCGGTGTTTCTTATCGCAGATTTTTTGAATATTTTTTTACAAATCTAAAAAACGTCGAAGTAGCGATATAAAGTCAGAAAACAAAAAGATGTATGACTCATTTGTTTTTTATCATAGAAGCATGGTTTTTAACAATGGAGTTATTGACTCTTAAAACCAGAAAGGAAGCAATACTATATCCTTTTTTTTGAAACATAAGTGTACAAAACTAGACACATCACAAATCTAAAGTAACAAAAATATTTCTGCTGACTGAAACTATAATACCCTCTGCATGGGTTTAAAAAGAAACAAGTTTTGTTAAAATTGGAAGAATTTATAATTTAGCTGACTTAGAAAAAATCGCTAAGAAAAATCAAAAACATCGATATTATTAAACATTTCCATACTTACCAACATTCAACAATTTTTTGCGTAATTATTTTAAAAAGTCTTGGATCTTTCCTAAGATTTTCATGAATATTTTTTCTTGAATCTGTCGTAGTTAATTTTTTTTTTAACATACATTTTCCAAAAATCATGCTTGTGTGATAAAAAACAACTGCGTAATAATTTTTATTTTAATAAATTAGGTACATTTTTAAATTAATACTGAATAATTATTCTAATTATTCTAAAAAAGTCGTTTCAATAAAGAACGGATCACTATGTATTTGATATAAAATAAAAAACATCCCATGAGCTTGGAGAGCCCTCCATTTCTGGTACTACATGCAATAACAAGAATTTTTTTTAAAGTTTTTGCCAGACATCTTAAACTGGCTTACTATTTTACATGGAAATGGACAAACCTGCGATTATGATGTCAAAAGCTTAAAGTTTTGAATGATTGTAACCCCTAAGGCACAAAAATATAATTTACTTACAAAAGCCAGATATTCTCAATATTTTTCTCCTCTTTTTTTCTCTTGCTCGGTTTTGGAAACTAAGATCTGCAGCCCAAGAAATCAGTCAAATTAATATCTCATCAGGGATTATCGAGGCAAAGCCAAACAAACAGAAACCCGCCCTTACTATTTTGGCACCAGATCGTGTTCCTTATGTTGCAGTGGGAAAAACAGTAGCGCACACCCACACACTAGGCACTCACGCACACAGGGGATTCCCCTCGAAGATCGGATCATCATTAACATCTACGCAAATCCTCGAGGCGCCGTCGGCGAGCTACTGTTTGTGTTCAGTGCGATCCTGCAGAAGATGCGGATGCAGCTCCTCGGTTTTTGCAGGAGCGCTAATTACTTAAGCGCTGTCCTTCGGGCCCTTCGAGCCGTAGATCAGGTCTTTAAGATTTCTCCAAATGCCGAAGTAATTCGGCTCACTGCATTTCCATTTCCATTTACATTTTGAATTGCATATCCATTCAGTATTCCTTTTGATTCCGCTCCTAATCTGTCCCACTTGCGATGGCAGGAATTTGATAAGCTGAAACTGATACTTTTGCTCTCTTTTCGGTGGAGTGCGTTTTCCTTTGAGGGGATATGCAAGCAGGCAGGTATTTTTCGGGCTGCGAAGAGGTGGGTGGTCGCAGGCAAACGAGTGCAACAGCCGATGCAGAAAGTTTCTAACGGTGTCTTGGCGTGACGATGGTAATTTGAAGGCCGAATGTTCGGCTTTCTCGGTGCTCCTCCACCACCCGCGACTGTTGCCCTCATTTTCCGTTTTCTAATCAAGCAAATTCGCTGTCTGTTGCTCATTTTACTGTTGCGAACTTTGCATTCCCATTTGGCGGCTAATTTAAAAACTTTTCTTATCAGTTGATGAAATCTAAAATTGCATTTTTATGGCACTTCCTCCGCCTGTTTCGCTGTGTCCCTTCTCTCTTCTTCCTTCTCCCTTCTCCCTTCCCCCTCTTCCTCTCTCTCTCTATCTCTCTCTCCGTTTGTCTGTTCTGTTCTGCTCCTTCGCATCCCTTGCTTTGTCCTTCGGCCAACGGGGTTCCGCCTATCGACACTTTCGTTGGCCAAAGTTGCTCATTTGTTGCATAAATGTGCCTGCCAAAAGTTTGATTTCCCATTACTCGTTGCTTCCCGTTGTTCGGATCGCAATTATCGCTGCGAATCTATGAGGCTTGTTCTGAATCGCCGGCAATTAGGATGGGGCCAGATTGGTACAATGCCGGGCTGATTGAGTTACAAATTCCCAGGCAATTAAAAGTCACCGAAGATCACTGACAAATACGAGGAGTTCAGGTCCGGTGGATCTCGCAAATCTTGAATCAATTAAAGACGGCATTGTTTCGCAGGACTAACGAAGAACCCCTTGACCCCTTGACCCTTTTGGCCTTGTTAGGGGATCGATCGCACGAAACTGGGCCAGGCTTCTGCGATCCTTTCTCGGGCACTTCTCCTTCTTCTCTGACGAGGGTTCGATGTCTGCATCGAGTGCCTGGCTACCTGATAGGAAAACAGAGAACAGAACTGCGAACTGTGAACTGGGAACTGGGAATTCGGGCGGCAGCTGTCCCCTAGGGCCACACCCACCGGGGAACACATAAGTGCGCCCCTTATGCAAATTTAATTAGCAGCAACTGGGCGAAAAACGCGATCGTGAGTTATGGTCGAGCCCCCCGATTTCCCCGGTTCCCCCCGAACAAATGCGCTCGATCAGGCGCTCATAAATCAATTTAAATGGCCATCTCAGCGAGCAGAGGTGCAGGCACGACGGCGAATGTCTGAAATTGTCTGTAATTATGGTGAAAACACTTGGCACACAGCACTCCCCCAGCGAAATTGATTTAAAATACTCTCGCCATCACGGTGCCCGGACCGCAAACAGAACACATAGTACGGAGCCACGTACTACGTGGCCCACCTTGTGTGGCCATAACTCAAAATTTATGTCTTTTGAAATTATTTTAATGTCTCTAATGGAACTCCCCCTCTTGGCAGCACCGCCACGGACCACAGACCCCCAGTTGGTGAGATCAAGAGAACTGCACACGAGTAATGAGCATGTTAAGCTCATTGAAGCCCAAGGCTTGCAGGCGGGGAAATAGTTTCCCCCTTAAAAAAACATACAAGTACGTCAGAGTAATACAATTAGATAATTACAACAGTAGGTTGTTGTGTAATAAGAATTTCTATGCCAAGATAATTCGGACAAAGATATTACTATTTTCACCTGAGAAATAAAATTAAATTAAATTAAATTTTCGTCTAGATACCGAAAGATCTAGCTTTGAGTATGGAACTCTTGTGTTTTCTGTCTTAAGTTGTGCTTTTAAATATGCTCCACAGATACCTTTATAGACAGATGGACCCACACTGATTTTTTTATTGGGTGATGCTGATAAAGGATATAAATGTATTTTTAGTGCATTGCACAAACATTGATTACTGTTTACCCACTTCTGATCGGAAACAATCGCAGCTAATTGTGGTTCGAGCTCCATCAGAGATCATCTGAGAACTGAGCCCAGTGAATTGATCCTGCCCCACCTCATGCTGTGGCCACCTCCAATCGAAGCTGGAATGCCGGTCGGCAGTCTCGATCCCCGGCGATAAATATCGCACTGTGGCAGCCAAAAGTCCAGATCCTCCATTTAAGCGGCTGCATGTCGAGCATTGGTGTAAGCCGAAATGTCCGGCTACAACAT